ATAACATAAAAACAACTTGTTTGTAGGAATAATTGCGTAAAAAACCAATTATCAGTGAGGTTGTATCGCATACCTTAAACGCTTAATCTTGATACCCAATGTTCTGAGCTTGCAGGGTATGACAACTGCAGGATATTGAATAAGAATAAATTAATCTGTAAATCTGCATAAGATGGAGATTAATGCTTGATCCTGAGATTCACAACTCAAGAGTTTAGAATTAACCCTGAACAAGCGGGGGGGGAGGCGTTTGGCGCCCCCCTCTTGTTTTTTTGCCCTAGCACTCTCATTATTGACACTATCACCATGATATTTTTTGACTTTTATGTTAAAAAATCTAAAGGATTTTTTGTAAATTTTTTATGCATATGTTAGGATCCAGGGCGGTAAAAAGTCCGGTATGTGCAAAAAATCTAAAATAGCTCAAAACTTTTTTATGACTAATTCTACAGATCTAAAACTATAATTTTTGAAAATCCCTCGAAAAATGAATGTAGAAACATGTTTCACACTCTGATATTTTTTTTACCCTTTTTGGCATATTTTTCAACCCTTCCTACCACCCAAATTATAAAATATATCAATATGATTTTTTTCAATGAGCTGGCCTTAAAAATTGGGCTATGAACATGCATTGTATTGTATTGTAATGAAACCCAGTATGGGAAACTTGGGGTTAAGCAGTTTTGTTGATACATGCATACCTAATTTTTGAACCTGCAGTCATGGGTCGGTTGTAGTGTGCGCATGCTAATTTTTAAACCTGCAGTCATGGGTCGGTTGTAGTGTGCGAATGCTAATTTTTAAACCTGCAGTCATGGGTCGGTTGTAGTGTGCGCATGCTAATTTTTAAACCTGCAGTCATGGGTCGGTTGTAGTGTGCGCATGCTAATTTTTAAACCTGCAGTCATGGGTCGGTTGTAGTGTGCGCATGCTAATTTTTAAACCTGCAGTCATGGGTCGGTTGTAGTGTGCGCATGCTAATTTTTAAACCTGCAGTCATGGGTCGGTTGTANGTAGATGTGTAAGATGTGTTGATGTATATAAATGTGTGAGGTAGATGTGTAAGATGTGTTGATGTATATAAATGTGAGAGGTAGATGTGTAAGATGTGTTGATGTATATAAATGTGAGAGGTGGATGTGTAAGATGTGTTGATGTATTTAAATGTTTGAGGTAGATGTGTAAGATATGTTGATGTATATAAATGTGAGAGGTAGATGTGTAAGACGTGTTGATGTATATAAATAATTCCTCGAGTCCATCACATTTATTATTCTCAAAGAGTTTTCTACATTTATAATGTGTAGTGTGCAGGACTACTAAACAGTCCTCTCTTGTGCGCATGAGATTTAATATTCGTGTAGTTCTGTATAACATTCTGTTGTAAAGGATGAGATATTTAAACACAGTTTTCTCGCAGTTCTTGCGCCCCCCCCCCCCTCCCCTTCATCTTAAAAAAGAGCATTCTCCTATGGAAAATATTCTTATGGCTTGATTATTTATAGTAAGCGTTATTATGTCAAAACTATTTATGGCAAGTGTTATTATGCCAAATGAAACTGATCCAAAAACATGCGTACAATTTACAAAATTTAGTTTATTTGATATATTGATAAGTTGATTTTTTTTCACACCTATTAAATCTGAACAAAATTATCTGATTAAAAAACTTACGCTTTGCGCTTACTCAATAATTCGATTAAGTTTACTCAATTTAATTTGATTAAATTTACTCGATGATTTGATTAACGTTAATAAATGATTTGATTAAGTTTACTCAATAATTTGATTAATTTAACTCACTTATTTGATTAGGTTTACTCACTAATTTGATTAAGTTTTCTCAATAATTTGATTAAATTTTCTCACTAATTTGACTAAGTTTACTCACTAATTTGATTAAGTTTACTCTGTAATTTGATTAAGTTTACTCAATAATTTGATTAAGTTTACTCAACAATTTGATTAAGTTTATTCACTGATTTGATTAAGGTAACTCACTTAGTTGATTAGGTTTACTCACTATTTGATTCGAGTTTACTAGTTGATTAAGTTTTTTCAACTTTTGATAAAGTTTACTCTCTAATTTGATTAAGTTTATTCACTAATGGCACTGTACATAAATGTTTGGAAACTTTAAAGAAAAACCACAGGAGGAAGGAAGGAAGGCAAATTAATTTTCCCGAAATACTGAAAATATTTCAAGACATTGGTTTCTTATTAAAGAAACTTTGGTTTCTTTTTTCTTTTAAATAAAAAACTTTATCATTCCAAGAATATTCTATAAAATCGCGGTTATATTAACTGGGATGAATATGCTTAACCTATTAATAATAATAATAATAATAATGATATCAATAATATAATTTAAACTAAAAAATCAAGTTAAATAATGAAATATATGTCAAATTTTGAGGCATAATATAAAAGCTATGTTACATATCTACAATTACAGTCTTACAGATGTTAGTTTTTGGACTTTGAATATTATTCAGACTGTAGCAACTAAAGCCCAAGATTTCTTTTTTTTACCCCGGTACAATTAAATTTGATTTGTATATGAGGATAACAGGTAGTTTCCAAAGGCTCTTTCCCAAGCATGCAACTTCCAAAGGGTATTTTCCCAAGTGGAAACTTCCTGATTATACAATTTCCCATGTGGCAACTTCCCAAGTCTGTTCTAACCACAGCGCTTTGCCCATTAGCCTATACTAGCTGCAGCGCTTGGCCAACATTGAGCCTGACCTGACCTTTGGGATGTTGCCGCTTGGAAAATTGTCACTTGGGAAGTTGCCTTTGGTAAAATGTCTTTAGGAAAATACCTAATACGTCATTTACGAGGTCACAAAGTCGGCAACCCAGCTTAAAAGATATCCAATTATAGATTGAACTTAATTATTAATTTTGAGCTGGGAACTTTTGTATTGCGGGGATTGAGATCAAGCATTGATCTCGATCTTTTGTTAATCTGTTTATTTATTTCATCCTTTTTCGCTATTATGCACAACCACGGCCAAAATTAAGCTTTTTGTGTGTTATCTAGTAATCTGCAGTGCTCTGACCAAATATATAGTAGTGTGCGCATGCTAATTTTTGAACCTGTAGTCATGGGTCGGTTGTAGTGTGCGCATGCTAATTTTTGAACCAGTCATGGGTCGGTTGTAGTGTGCACATGCTAATTTTTAACCCTGGTTGTAGTGCGCGCATGCTAATTTTTGAACCAGTCATGGGTCAGTTGTAGTGTGCGCATGCTAATTTTTGAACCAGTCATGGGTCGGTTGTAGATTCAATTTTTGCAAATTTGCAAATTTTGCAGATTCTAAAAGTAGAGCACAAGAGCTTTCCAATGATGTATCATTTGTCATATTTGGACACCAAACATGGGATTTAGAGGGGGGGGTCAAATTGACCCCCCCCCCAGCATATCCTGGTTTTCAAGTACCCCAGCAGAGATAGGGTTAAACTTGCAGTCATGGGTCGGTTGTAGTGTGCGCATGCTAATTTTTGAACCAGTCATGGGTCGGTTGAAGGGAGCTTTGATCAGGGAATCAATACAAGTGATGACTTTTTTATCAAATTTTCCCGAAAAACCTTTCAATGCATTTTAAAAGTCAAAATTGAAACTGATTGTTCAGAAATTTTGCCGCGTAATAGACATTGGACATCGTTTGAGATTATTTAATTAATATAAAAACAATTGTCATTGAGTAATGAAGGAACGATGAACGAACGTGTTATATTGTTTGTGGAAAGATTGTTTTTGCCATGTGAGCGAAAAAATAAAAATATACAGTTTAACAATCTTTACAGCGGAAAAAAACTGTTCTGTCGCGAGCTATAGGAACTGAAACAGTAGGTCACAACTCACCAATTTGGCTAATGCGCAAATACAACAACTTTGAATCAATAAAGTTTATTAACTTACAAAATTATATATTTAATAGTGGTGAAACAAGTGAATCAAATCTCTCCGCCGCGGCTAGTTCTCACCTTTCATTTGATATCGTCTTCCGCCACAATTCATCAAGAACTCATTAATCAACTGTGAACATGTTGGGCAGTTCTTCTACATAAAGTTGAACATTTACAAATTTGATGGGAGTAATATAGAGGATTGGTAAATATTATAGAAAACGAAAATTCTAAAAATAACATGCTTTTTTTCTAAGAATCCGTCGATACCATATTTAAAACTTTTCATAGAATAGCAGAGAAAAGTAGACTTAACACTTTTATTAAAATTTCCTTTTAAAACCATTTTTAAATGCAATTTTTCTTTTATTATAAATCAAATTTTATTTTAAAAAATTACGAAAAGTTTTGTCCATGAATCAAAGGCTTTATTCAAACAAAATTAATTTAAACTTAAATTTATTAATTAGCGAACTATAATTTGAAAAATGAAGTTTTCAAAATTTTGCATTAACGGGATTAATAAAAAATTTGTGTAGTCAAATTTTAGAAAGTCAAGCAACACTTATTCTAAAGGGAATGATTGTGAAAAAAGAGAATACATCATGAGCTGCATGACTTGGTTTTGAATTAAAATCTATGGTACTGCTTTAATTTTAATCCTATGTTTATGTGCAACAAAAAGTGCAGTAGGTAGGGGTTGCGGAGAAGCCGTGAGCCCCACAAACTGACCTCCGGAGCCTCTTGATTCCCAGAATGACCTCACCCAATCAAAATCATCTACATGCCTCACAATACGTCTCCAAAACAAATATTTGGCTTTAACATTCACAAAAAAAAATTTTTTTGAAAAATCTCCACAATGACAAAAAGTTTTTACTATTTTAAAACAATTTTTATTAAAAAAGTCAACTTTGATTGAGATTAAAACTTCTATTTTTGTTTTTCTAAATTTCTTAAATTCTTTAACAGGTGTATCATATATGAATCTAACTATATCAGCAACATTTCACAAAACATGTTAGTTTTGTGAAATACTTGAATTTTTGATTTTATTGTATTTTATTAATCAAGCATTTGACAAAGACTATTGTGTTTTTCTGGAATAACCGATTCAAAGATAAAGATTCATGAGGATTTGATTCGGTGTTTCAGGATTGAATTGGGGTGAGGTAGTTTAGTGACCTCTCCAGTTTGTTAAATTCGGTCCTAGATTATGTTTGAGAACAATAATTTTGTTTAATGTTCTTTTAACTGTTTCAGACAATATACCTGCTGGTAAATCGGTAATTTTCTAAAAAATGACCGGAGTTAATATATCCTCTACTTCTGGGAGTCCAATAGATGCTGCACTGGTAAGTTAAACTTGTGAACCTTTGTTTTTAGAAAACACAGTCAAAACCAAGGTTGTATAGTAAGGATGCTTATTCTCGATGCTCTCCAATGTACGGGAATTGTCGTCTCCTAATCATAGATAGATGTAATCCTCATATGACGTCACTGATCATAGAGACGAGAGTGACTTCATATACGAATTATGGCTATATATGCCAAGGTAACGACATTTCCCGAAAACATTGATTGTGAGCAACCTTGTTATACAACCTTGGCTAAAACTTACTGAATGATCGTTTTCATCTCTGAAAAACGAAAAAGAAACGCAAAATTAAAAAAGATGTTTGTTTTGTAAATGTTTTCTAAAGTAAATTTGAATTTTATATTTGATTTTTCAAGATTCAATAGTATGCGAATGTTCTCCCATCGTGTTTTTAACGTTTTTGATCGCTGCTCTTGTCCAAATTTTTTAGCTTTTTGACATTTGAAAATGAATTATGTCGTTAGTGGTCGTTAACAGTCGTCGTAAACGATCGTCTAAAACAAAGATTTAAAAGATAAAAACTACTACTTCGCTTTTTCTGCGTCGTTACGACCTATTTGTAATTCATAGCTTCAAGGGACTGTAGAGCTAGTTTCAAGTGGCCCGTAAGTTTTACAACGGTATCCCTTTTTAAGCTTTTTAAACTCTTAAAGTCTTGTGAAACCTTTCACGAGCTGAAAAAAAACTTTAAACGAACCGGAAAGTCGATTTCTATCTTATACATTAAAAATATTATATACATACATATAAGATATACTAGCATATATAATATACTAGCTAAAGGGCCCGGCGTTGCCCGTGAAAAAAAAATCGAATTATTTTTAGCCTTTGTCATCCCCAGGCTTCCCATGAGTGTCCAAAAAAAATGTCGGCCCATTCGGTCCAGCCGCCGTTTGGCTGGCTATAGGGAACTTATAAGAATGTCTTGTTTTATTATATAAATATACATACATATATTTAAAATATTTGTATATAGTTGATGTTTATGAAAGACCTACTAGAAATTAAAATCAAGCTGTCACTGTTTAAAAGCAAACAAAAACTAAATTAGTTTTCTACTTTCTAGTAATTATTCATCTATTCATGAGAAGTGGATCTGGATTTGGGACAAACAGATTGAAAACTTTATACAGCAAGTATTTAAATAAAATGCTGAATTTATAATATTTTTATGAGTGGCTTAATTAAGCAAGCATACGTTTTACTTTCAACATTTTCAGGGACTTTAAGTTAAAAAGCAAACCATAACACAGCTGGAATTGAGTTAAACTTGGTAAAATAAAGTGAATTACACTTTCCTAACTTAAACAATGGCTGTTGCAACAATGTCTATGATTTTTATTGTACAGTCTACAGTCTACTGACTTTAAATTTATCAGTTTTGAATTTTATTTCCGGATAGATCATCCGGTAACTCTATTTTGCAAAATTCTAAAGAAATTAATTTGAACATTTTCTTCTTTTTTGAAAACATATTCAAAATACTGTTTTTATATTTTTATATTACAAATCTAAAATAAAATCTTATTTTTGATTTTATAATTTAGTATTTTCTAATCATTTATGCTTTGGCTATAATTTTGAAGAAAATTAATTAATTTGGAAAGGAACTGAGTTTTTGCCACAAAATCAACTTTTATAATCTCTATATCTTGGCGACCCGATGGTGCAAACCTTTGATATTTTAAACTTAGACTATTTGATCTAACAGAATTGATAGTTTGAAAATATCAAAGGTTTAAGTCATTGGGTTGGCAATTAGAATGTGTTGCAAAAACTCATTTCCTTTGTTTAATTAAAGTTGTTTATTCTAATCCATGGGCTTCTTGCTTATTAAAACAACAATAAAAAGTAAATTGTATTAAAATAATTATATTTTGATATAATCTGATTTACGTCGTGATAAAAAATACTTACAAAAATTAACCTTTTCACACCTGAAGTTGACTCTAAAACACCGAGGTCCGAGGTGTGTAAGTGCCAGAAATAAAATAAAACCCCGGTCCGAGGTGTGTAAGTGCCAGAAATGCAAAGAATCCTTTGATCATCTGAAAAAAGTTTTGAGAAAACATTTATTCCTTTAAATAGTTTCATTAAAACAAAAGTAAACAAAAAATTTAAATATTGCCTGCAAAATGTGTTAGAATTAGAAAAGGGTTCAAGTTGATAAATTCAGAAATTGATTTTCCGTTCCACCAACACCATAACCACTTTTCTCTCGGTGCGAAATGGTTTTAACCCTGTCTCTGCTTGACCCCCCCCCCCTCTAAATCCCATGTTTGATGTCCAAATATGACAAATGATACATCATTGGAAAGCTCTTGTGCTCTACTTAATTTGCAAAAATTGATTTTTTATTGCAAAATCCAGTTATATAGTAAAAATGTTTGCAAAAAATAATTTGTCCAAAAAATGAAAAATGATACATTTTTGAAAAGCCCTTGACCATGTCATTTTAAATATGCAAAAACTTTTGCAAAATTTTAAATAACCTGATTTTTAATCAAGAAAAACTAAAAATGTGCAAATTTCCTTTGACAGGGTTGTTTGCAAAAAATTTGCAATTTTTTTTCGTAAAACTTGTGCAGTTCGTTTCTTTATGTCAAAGGCTTTCCAAAAAGCTAAATTTTATCAAAATCTGACAAGTGGAAGTGGGTCAAAACAAAGATTTAGTTTGTTACAGGAAAAGCAGTCATTCAGGCAGTGTGCCTGAGGACTCAGGCAGTAAGTATTAAAGCCCGGTTTTAGGCCTAATGGGAGGGCTTTGGGTATGTAGGAAAAGTCAGAAAATTTCAACAGCCTCAGACCAACACTTTTTGAGTTATGTAAAAAAACTACAGGGGGGGGGGGTCAAATTAACCCCCCCCCCCCCCAGCAGGAATAGGGTTAAATGTAAGAAACTGAATTCGAGAAAGCGTTATGGAAATCGTAAAACCCTAATTTAATTCTTAATTTCACTTTAATTTTGGAAATTCTAATTTAACATTTCAAATTCATGCAAGTTTGAATAATCTTATATTCTGCAGAAAACCGGATTTATTTGAATTCCGATAATCGCAATTCTTTAGATGTAAGTTCAAAAGCTTAGCTTTGTGCCTATGCGCTAAATCCCCTTTTATCTCAATTTTAACGTTCAACGTAAATTTTGTGATGATGAGTTTGGTTAAGTAAAAAATAAAAAATAAGACTTAACTTGAGGAAATTTTTCAACAGGTGTCTTAGTCACTTTTATCACCAAAGTCTCAGAAGAAGTAAATATTTCCATTCACTGTTAGCGCCGATTGAAGGATTCTTAACTCTGATTGGATAATGAGATAGATAGAAAGATAGATGTTACCGCCAAACTATTTCCATTGGTTCAGAATAGACAACAAACACATGGCTGAACCCTGATTGGATCAGGCGCTAATGGACTCGGCATACAGGAGTGTTTAGTGCCCTTTTGGACAGGCAAAAACAATCCATACAATATCTTATATAAAAAACCTGTTTTTTTAGATTTCTGCAACTATTATTTTTAATGCAGTTATTTATCAGTTTCAAGGGAAACCCTGATTTTTATAAATTTAGGAAACCCTGTTTGTGCAAGAGAAAATGTTAGCTGTAAGTGAAACTGATGAAAACGCAACTAACAGGTAATGACCCTGTGCAATTTTTGGCGCAAATATTGATTACAAATTTGCCAAATATTTGCTGAAAAAGTCGATTAATATTTTGCCAAATACTGCTTTGACATTTAAATTGGAAAAACCCACTTTTCGGCTTTTAAATATTATTGTATTATTAATTAAATAACAGTTAAAAATTGTCAATTTCTTAGCTCTGAGCTCTGCTTAAAATAGGATCATACAGGATGTCCAAAAAAACATGGGAATTCAGTGACGAATTGGATATCGTCTTTGTTATGAATTAGCATTGTAATACTTAATTTCAAAAGCCATAATATTATTATGTCTGCTAGAATTTATCTTATGAAAAGGCTAAAAGACTGCAAGGATGTATCTATAATGTCTTCGCAAGATGAAAAGCGAAGACGAACAAGTTTACTCTTTTTGTATACTGCAATTTTCTTGTTTTAATAAGTACAACCGTATTGCAGTCAAAACATAAACAAACAAAATGTGAACATAGCAGACGAAACTCTTACAGATTACTGCTTTCTCAGTAGGTATCACTATACTAAATCAAAGAATTATTTGAAAAGACGATATCGAATTCGTCACTGAATTCCCATGTTTATTGGGACACCCTGTATATATTTCTGATTTCTCTTGCATATTTTATTATTAAGGAAATTAAACACATTGTTAATTTAGAAAATTCGAGAATAAAGAGGTGCAAAAAAGTAAAAACAATAAATAAAGTTAATTCTATTTTAAAAAAATGGTTCTTATTCTTAAAAACTTAATTTCTTAGTAATTTTAGTTTTTTAGATTCAAGGCATTACTGCATTTTAATGTTTTAATTAAAGCTCTTTATGTTTTCATTAAAGCCATTTTTAAGATTTGTAAACATTTTATCAATTTAAACTAAATGTAATGTATTAATTTTAAAAAAAATTGTAGATTTTGGGATTTTTCTTCTCCATAATGTTGTTATCTGTTGACTGCTAGTTGAGTGCACACACAAGCTTATTAAACTTTTAATGAGAATTTTCCAAAAGAAAATCATAAACTTTTTTGTCAATTTTATATTTCTACTTTTAATATTATACTTATAAAAGATGTTTATAAACATACATATATTCATATATACTTCATATTTCGGATGTATATTGGATATTTTTCTTCAATATCTTCTATTTTCTAAGAAATTAAGAAATTAAAAACATGAGAATCATAATGCACTATATAGTTTCAGTAGAAGTAATGAGTAAATATTTCCATTTACTGATAGTGCCGATTGAAGGATTCATAACTCTAATTGGATAATGAGATAGATAGAAAGATAGATGTTACCGCCAAACTATTTCTATTGGTTCAGAATAGACAACAAACACATGGCTGAACCCTGATTGGATCAGGCGCTAATGGACTCGGCTTACAGGAGTGCATGTCCTCCTTTTAAGATTAGATTAGATAATAGATATGCAACTTGTTTTTCTTACTTATTCAGAGCCAATTTAGAAATTTTAAACTTAGAATGAATTAAATTCTTGGGGTGTTTTTCGTTTATTTCCGTTTGGGGGGGGGGGGTTAGGGGGGTTCACAATAGCTAGTTAAAGGCTAATGTTAAATGTTTTTTTTTCTCTCAAAATTTTGAAGGCTATTAGATGACGCTCTAAGTTTGAAAAAACTTAGTGGCTAAACAGGCTCCCCTCCAGTTTTTTTTCCCCCCAGCACTCTCATTTTAAGACACTATCGCTGTAAATAATGAAAAGAAATTTTAAGGTTTTTTTGTGGTAAAAAGTTGTAAAAAGGACGGTCTGTGTAAAAAAATCTAAAATAGCCCAGAACTTTTTTGTGACTAAAGCTTAAGATAAAAAAATAAATTTTTGAAAAGCCCCTGAAAAATGGATGTAGTAACATGTGTCACCACACTCACATCTTAATATTTGTTTAAAACAAAAAATATTTTTTTTTGCAATTTTTATCCTATTTTTTGTCACTTTTTTCAATCCATGGTATAAAAACTATTAAAGTTATCGGTCTAATTTTTTTCAATGAACTGGCCTTGAAAAATTGGACTATAAGCATGCAATTCAAACCCTACACCTAAAATCTAAGGCCTTTTTCTAAGGGGGGTTTTATATAGATTCATACCCCCCGGCCTTTATCGGGTTAAGCTTCAATAACGAATCATTTGTAAAATTAATGATAATCCTCAGTTCAGTTTTTTTTTAAGTGGAGAAGATGGGATTGACTGGAATAGTTTATATTTCTTGATGAAAAATGAATCTGAACACCTTGAATCGAAAAGGTAATAATCAAATGAACATTTTTTTTAAAAATTTGACAAAAGTTGTAATAGAAAATTGCGTTAAATCAGCAATGCTCGCATTTCAGTGCAAAATACTTTATTTCAAAAAAACCCATTCCTTGTTATAAACTTATTTATATTCTAAACTAAACATTTATCTAAATTTGGAATTCAGAAAATAAAGTAAAAAAAATATCCCGCTTTGGCCTATTAGTGGGATGACAAAAAAATTGTGCCTGTGCGACAAATCAGATTTTTTTGTCCATTTATCTTTGAAACCTGATATATTTAAAACTTAGAATATTTGATCTAGCAGAATTCATATTTTAAAATATCTCAGGTCTACAATATTGGGTTGAAAAGATATTGGGATTAAAATAACTATGCATTGTAAATATTTTTTCAAAAAATTCTAAAAAGTAATTTTTTTACATCACTTAATGCTATAGGCTGAGTACTGCAGCTCATTACACCCTTATCATCACTTACTCTACCTTCATTGTTCTTGGCATTGTCGGCAACATAGCTATAGTATTAGCCTTCCTAACTAATAAGGTATAGTATGCAACCTAGCAATAGTATTACCCTTCCTTACTAATAAGGTATAGTAGGCAACCTAGCAATAGTATTAGGCTTCCTTACTAATAAGGTATAGTCGGATACCTAGCAATAGTATTAGCCTTCCTTACTAATAAGGTATAGTTGGCAACATAGCAATAGTATTAGGCTTCCTTACTAATAAGGTATAGTTGGCAACCTAGCAATAGTATTAGCCTTCCTTACAAATAAGGTATAGTAGGCAACCTAGCAATAGTACTAGCCTTCCTTACTAATAAGGTATAGTAGGATACCTAGCAATAGTATCAGGCTTCCTTACTAATAAGGTATAGTCGGCAACCTAGTAATAGTATTAGCCTTCCTTACAAATAAGGTATAGTTGGCAACCTAGCAATAGTATTAGGCTTCCTTACTAATAAGGTATAGTTGGCAACCTAGTAATAGTATTAGGCTTCCTTACTAATAAGGTATAGTCGGCAACCTAGCAATAGTATTAGGCTTCCTTACTAATAAGGTATAGTTGGCAACCTAGTAATAGTATTAGCCTTCCTTACTAATAAGGTATAGTTGGCAACCTAGCAATAGTACTAGCCTTCTTTACTAATAAGGTATAGTCGGCAACCTAGCAATAGTATTAGTCTTCCTTACTAATAAGGTAGAGTTGGATACCTAGCAATAGTATTACCCTTCCTTACTAATAAGGTATAGTAGGATACCTAGCAATAGTATTAGGCTTCCTTACTAATAAGGTATAGTTGGATACCTAGTAATAGTACTAGCCTTCCTTACTAATAAGGTAAAGTTGGCAACCTAGCAATAGTACTAGCCTTCCTTACTAATAAGGTATAGTTGGCAACCTAGCAATAGTACTAGCCTTCCTTACTAATAAGGTATAGTAGGATGGCAACCTAGCAATAGTATTAGGCTTCCTTACTAATAAGGTATAGTTGGCAACCTAGCAATAGTATTAGCCTTCCTTACAAATACACTTACCTCAACCTTCAATTTTCTGCTTCTCATATATTTGTATTTGATAACTCTAATTTTCATGGTTTGAAATATTTGACTACAGGTGAAAAAAAAGATAATAAAGTTTGAGTTAAAGGCGTAATCATTCTCTTTCTTCCGAATTTCAAACTTTAAATTGCTTTGCACATCAATTTTCAATCAGATGTTTTGTAAAAGTAATTTTAAAATGTAATACATTGCCATCGTTTTGATACAATTTTCAAGCAAACCTTTGGACCCCATAACATCTAAGAAACTCTGAGAATTTTGATACTCGCTCTCTGAAAACAAATCAAAATTACTGTAGATAGAATGTATCGAAGGCCTAATTGTGTTTTGTCAAAGATTGAAAACCGTTTTATAGGGTGAAATATTTCCTGTTTTTAAATTTGAAATTTGAAATTTAATGCATGATGCAAAAAAAACATATTTTTGAGAACAATTTGTAAAATTTACTTATTTATTTCCTCATTTTTACAAATTTTCTGAAAATTTTAATGAAACAGCTTTTTCTCTGGTTTAATATTCTCTCTTTTGCTTTATACAAAATTAAATTTATCTTGACAGCATTAATATGTTTTCTCTTTAATTTTTAAGAATTTAATTGGTGCGAAAGAAATAATATATTCCCGCTCTTTTGTTTTTCTACTCATCTAATTTTAAGTAAAAATAGTTTCGTGGTTTTTTTAAGGGTCTATCATAGGGTTTCCAGTCGAAATTTTTTGCACGAAAATCGTGCAAAAATTGCGCAAAGATTTGCTTACGTTTCAAGTAAAATTTGCACGCAATTTCGATGTTTTTGCGCAAAAGCTATTTCGCGCAAATTCTGAAGAAAATCTTGGTATTTACGTATTTCGTTATTGCCTGCTATTTCGTTATTTCGTTAAATTTCGAGAATAATTCAAGGAAATGATGAATAAATTCAAAATTAAACCAAAAAGAGTTCGAGGCCGAATGAGCCCAAATTCTCAGGTTTTAGGTCACCTTACCGTACACCGACTATTATACCGTTTACCGGCAAGTAATCTCAAGTAGTATCTGAGTTACTCATGAATTAATTATAATCATCAGTTCGGTCTGAACCAGGCGCGTAGTGGAGGTTTAGTCTAGGGGGGTGCACTTTTGGTACGCACGATCGCCAAAGTTTGTGCACCCCCCTAACGGTTGATGTGCACCCCCCCAAAAAACCGGTATTGTCGATTAATAAGAAAAGTAAACAATCTATATATAAGTTTGTTTCGCTACTTAGCGATTTCCCTAAAGACCTAATATATGTACCGTGTGGTATTTCTCAGGACTGGATCGTAAGACTCCCTTCTCTCAACGCTCTTCATAATAAAAAGGAAGATAGTAAGGTTCCGAACGTTTATTTCTCTGAGCCTTCAATCTAAACAAGTTTAATAAACCCACAGAAAAAGCTTTGAGTGATAATCATACAATTACAACAAATAATTCACTCAGGCATTAAAAAACTGTGGCTAGGAACCAATAAACATATACACAATTATCAATCATACTATAATCAAACCGATAAGCATAAATATATATAAAATAGTTACCACGGTGATCCCAGAATTCTGAACACGGATAATACTTGCAAAACGAATAAACATATACTGATATAAATTTAACTACTATTCCGCGAGAAATCTTGCGTCTGCGCAGTCGGACTGTAAACAGTTCCTAAACTAGTTCTTTCACAATACATTCCGTACAGATCTTCAGGAGGAACTCAGAAATACACAGGGGCGACAAACAGACTTTCTATACGCAGCATGGCTCGCGTAACAAAGTTTACTGTTTAATAAATTAGAGCCTGCCTCTGGCTCTAGGGGGGGGGGGGCTAGGGGCGTGCATGTCTAGGGGGTTACATGGGTACCGGCCCCCCCACTACGTGCCTGGTCTGAACTTGGAAACGAGCAGGGGTCTAGATGGAAGTTGTTTTTTAATGAAACTAATTCACATCATACTGTCCAAATATTAAAATCGTTCATATTATGCACTATTGGCATGCAAAAAATATTTCTTAATTTCGTTTTCATGCAATTGCTGTACAAAAATTTCAATTTTTCGTATTCATGGGCATTGCAAAATTACATGCAAAAATGACCTGTATTCATGCGAATATCATGAACAAATTCTGGCTTAAATTTCGTATTCATGCGAAACTTCGTGCAAGAAAATTTATTTATTTCGAATGAATGCGCAATTTCGTGCAAAACTGGTTTCGTATTGATACGAAAATGATGCGGAATTTCGCGCAAAAAAGTTATTTCGTGCAAAACCACGCAACTGTTGCGAGAGAATTGACTGTTTCGTGGAAACCCTACTATCAGAATTCCTATACAATTTACAAAATTTAATTTAGAAATTTCATTCATATTTGTCATAAATGAAATTACCAAAAAAATGCTTCTTCAAAATGCAAAGGTTCGCTATTCACCCTTTTTTTGACTAAGCCTTGTTACTTTTTGGGTCAAAATTTAGCATAGTTTCTGAAAAGCAAATTTTTGCCAAAAATAATTTGAAATTTTTTAAGACTTTTCAAACTTTTGCAACTTTTACATAATCATCGATAATTTTTCGACGCATTCGTATACATTTGATATTTCATAATGTTTTCTATTTTTTAAAATCTGAGAGTTACTTTTGAAAACGTTTATTCCTGTTTCCAGGATTTTTGATAATGAAGACGACATTTACATATTTTCCAGGATTGTTCGAAAATCCAGCGGCAGCCGTGAAAACAAGTTGAAAGCTAAAAATTATTTATAAAAAGAAATATCAAAAACATAATAAATTACAAACTATATAGAATTCATCGAAAATTGTTGTAATATCTGCATGATTTGTTTGGAATTAAATTGATTTTTACGATATGAGTGGAATGTTGCAACTTCCTGAATTTGTATGGACACTATGTTCTTCGACATGAGCCATTTTTAACGATTTTTTCCTTATAGACGCAACAGATAGAAGTAAGAATAGTAGCGATCACCCTCGATAATTTTTCGACGTAAACCTATACCCCCTTTTATTTTCGCGATCAGTCCCTTTAAATCTTTTCAAGTCACCAATTAATTCATATGTTTACTGGGCTACTTACTTTTCACACGGAAACTAATGGTTATTGTTTGGCAAGTAATTGATAATTGTCTTGAAACATTTTTTTAAAGTGAATACTTGCTAATTATCTTTTTTCCATCAGATAAGCTGAGTTCGTTTCCCGTATGTCCATTTGACAGCCCAAATTTTTATTTTGAATAATATTTTTTGTTTATTTATTTTATTTTGATTTTTAACAAACATTTTTTTTATCGATTTTGATGGTTATTATATTGTTAGAACTGACGAGGGTCAACCCAGACCGAAATATATTTTCAATAAATGTGGAACTAACATCTACTTTTTTACTCTACAGAGGTTTGGTCCTTCACCATCACCGAATTTTAAAATCATTGATCAAATTCAATAGAGTTTATACTGCTGTCAACCATTAAAGATTGTTGTAAAACATGAAACATGTGTTCAGAATGATAATAAAATGAAATAAGTGCAGAATATTTTTCTTTTTTTATTTTCTACTTTTCTTTGTTTACATTTGTATGTTTTTCTGCTTGTAAGAAATCGAACCTGAATTAGAAAATCGTCTTCATTGTATTAATAAACAAAAGGATGTTACTTTGAAAAGAAATATACAGAATTTGTTCAGTCCTTTCTCTTATATTCAGGCATACGTGCATTTGAACACAAGCTTCTTTCTTTACCTGACCATTTAGTAAATCGTTTAAAGGCATTGAAGACAGAAGACCTAATATTCAAATCATGATATTTAAAGGGACTGTTAGCGTAATTTCATACAAAATTGGTAAGCCCCGATTCCCCTTTAAACACTTTTTTGATTAACTACGAATTAGATATCAATGTTTTTGTTTTTAAAAACTTTTCATTTTCATTTGCGGATTCTCTGAGAAAAAGACTTGCGTATTTATTGCTTACAAGAAGCAATGGAGAAATTATCTGAAAAAACACTTAAAAGAATTTTTGGTCATCTTTACAGTCTCATTCGTCGTGGGTAACCCTGTATCTGTTCAGGTGATGCTAACAACAAGGAACATCTTTATCGCAAACTTGGCGGTGTCGGACATCTTCTTGTGCGCCTTCACGATGCCGTTAACCCTGATCGACCTTGTCACTAAGTTCTGGACCCTCGGAGAAAATCAGGTCACACGGGTGTGAAATAGAAGAGGGAGGGGGGAGGGTTACCCAATTCTATGAAATCACTAAAAAATTCATTAATAACTTTAAAATTTTAATGAAACCAAAAATGTTCCGATCCTGAGTAATAAAAATCCTTAAAAAATGTGTAAAAATTTAAATTAGACCCTTTCGGTTCTCACTCCATGTAAACGTTCAATTGCATTAAGCATACACATAAAAGACTGTAACACTATTCCTACAGGGGGGGGGGGGCAGGATCCCTTAGACCCTTGTTTTGAAATGTTAGCCCATTTCAAAAGTGTTGGTCAAAGACTGATTATTTTTAACATTACTTCCCCCCCCCCCCCACGTAAAGATATCTTGTTAAACCTATTTAATTTTTGTTTAGGGCGTTCTGTGTAAACTGATCGGAACAACGCAAGCATCCTGCATATTCTTCTCTTCTTTCTCTATCCTACTCATAGCAGTAGACAGGTATACTGTCCATACACAAGCATCCTGCATATTCATCTCATACTTCTCTATCCTACTCATAGCAGTAGACAGGTATACAGTCCATACACAATCATCCTGCATATTCTTCTCTTCTTTCTCTATCCTACTCATAGCAGTAGACAGGTATACAGTCCTATAACGCAGCTTTTAGCCTCTTATGCTATCCTCGCTGTATTTTAGCACACGGCCCTTATTTGCTGCGCTCTTCCCCTGGTGTAACCGACGTTACCTCTTTTTGTAACCGAACACTAGGGTGTGCAGCGAAAAGGAAAAATCGATCTGCGAAAATTTCGCATTTTTGGGGGAACATTTTTTTCGCATTTCGTTCGCTTGCTGAAAATGCGAAATATTCGCTCTTTTGGTGAACTTTCGCTTCAATCTGTTTTGCGAAAAAATGCGAAATTTTCGCGAAACAGAAAATTCAAAAATTTCGCCAAAAAGTTAATGAAAAAAATAAAGCGAAATTTCTCGAAAAAACCGGAAACTGTGCAAAAAAACACGAAAATTTCGCGAAAAAATACGGAAATTGTAATTCGCTGGCTCATAATCATGGGTCAACGCATGTGTAGGGAAAAAAAACTTAAATAGATAGCCAGAGAAATAAAATTCCCTCCATCAAACATTTCTTAAAGTAAAGGAAGAGAAAATATTAATATGACATTAAAAACTTCAAATCTTGAGCTATCAGAGCAGAGAATTCCACAACTTTTTTTTGCGCAATCAATTGCAGTTGCAGCTAAAACACTTATGGTTTTTGCGGATTTTTTTTCCTCGAAAATATCGCATTTCGCGAAAAATATGTTCGCGATATTTTCGCATTTTGCATTTTCGCGAAATTTCGCAAAAATGTATTATTTATTGTTAGGTAGGGTTTGCAGCGAACGAAACGTTTCGCAAAAAATGCAAAAATTTTCGTTCACATTTTGCAAACTTTTTCGCGTTATTTCGCATTTTTTTCGCGTAAATGAAGGAAACGAAAAAATGCGAAATTTCACGAAAAAGTTTGTGAAATGTGAACGAAAATTGTTGCATTTTTTGCGAAACGTTTCGTTCGCTGCAAACCCTACCTAACACTAAATATTGGATTCAAACTGTGGAAATGATTTATTGAGTATTTCTTGAAGCAGATATATATATATATATTTATTTCTTGAAACAGCGATATATTTTCTAGAAATTTAACAAAGAGCAAGTAATATTGGGAATAAATGACCATTTAATTTTTTAGTAGACAAAAATATACACATATATACAAAACAATATATATATAATTAGTTAATTTGATCATATAGATTTTAGGTTGATTAGATGTCCCTAAGGTATTGGAAACATATTCTTCACTCTTCTTTACTATTGAATCAAATAACAAATAATTGGAAGATTAGAAAGGGAAGAAAGGAGGGGGGGGGGGGGTTAATTATCCTCTTTACTCAAAAATATTTCACAAAACTTTATAAACTAAATATTTCCACCTCAAGTTACCTTTTAGTCTGGTTTAAAGTCTAAATTTGCAAATTTGTTTATAATTGTGATCTTTGCTACATTTGTTGCATAACACGTGTTGGGTCGAATCTATGATTAGTAGTCTTGACTAGAGATGTCAACGATAGTGTAACATAAATTAAAATGTGCTTTTTGTACATTATGTTACAATTATATAAAACGTTTGGATATTTTCTATATAAAACGACATAACGTGAATGTTGAACGTTAACGTTGGAGCTTATACCTAACCGTTAACGTTAGAGGAACATTTCCCAACGTTAGCGTTTTGTGGTAATGTAACGTTATTTTTCTAATATCTACAACATGTTTTACCATAACATGAAGAAACATTTTGTGTCCATGGAGAGCTTGAGAGTCTAACGTTTGAAAAATTAACTGTGATTTGGTTGCATATCGTAACGAAAGGATTTCTATTTCAAAGTTCAACGTAACCTTCTTCTTCTAAATGATTTAACACACCACATATGAGGCAGCTTTAGGTCGTTTTAAAGCTTTTACTTTATTTTTTGTTTGTTTGTAAACAAAGGATGAAGTATGATTGTTTGTTCAGGTACAGATTCATTGTACAATCCAGTGAAAACCAAATCTCAACCAAGCAGGTTAGCTTATATTTCACCTCAGACTAATAAACAAATCTGGAAAACCCAAATAGATACGCCGTACTTGTACTGACACAGCAGAGCCCAAAACTTAAGACAGGGTATCGTTATGAAAACCAGTTTTGAAACCCGGGTTTCAAGAATGGGGTTAGGCAGTTTTGTGGATATCAATATTTTTGTTGTGAAATATTATTTTATTAAGTTTCTTCATATTCTTCATTTTTTTAAATTTTTAAATTTTAAATTTAAATCAAAATCTACACAATTCCCAAGACCCCAAAAAGGAAACTCGGGAGTTTCGTTCAACGATACTCTTTTAAATTTCGGGCTCTGAGGTGTACGAATCTTTTGTACTGCAGTGTACTGTCTCTGGGTGGTAATGTAAACACAAGACGGATGTCAAAGCTTGACAAGGGGTCCATCTTTCACATAAAAAATCAATGAAATATTCTGGTCATAGGAAACTATTATGTGAATTATCAAAATTTTATGCTTTCAACCTCCTCGGATTCTATAAGAACACGGATGCATCTATTCTTGTTTACAATTTCCGCCCAGAGAGAACTGGTTTCAATATGTACGCAGAATATACGCAACTGCAATTTCCTTACCTTGCATTATAACCTTGCGCCATGCTATATTAGGTCAGCATGTTTTTCAACTGCCATATTGTTTCACAATAGTTCGGACAATTTCTAAACAGCTATTTCTCGGACAGTTTTTGGAATTTTTACAATCTGTAAAAATATTGGAGCAACATTTTTCAAAATAACTAAATGTGCATGCATGAAGCTAGCCAAGGCCAAGAGCTAACCTCAGAGTTTTGAAAACTCATCGATACTTCTTTTCGTTACAGATTTATAACTCATTAAAGTCAATCCGGCTCAAAAACTTCAGATTCAGAGCTATAAATTATGCATGGAAGAAGATGGCGGTCATTTTAAACACATGTCAAAGAAAACGAAGTGATTGGGAACCCATTGATAACAAAACTTTCATATCTATAGAATAAGAATTTAAAAAAAATAAATGTAACCATGAAATATCCTAATTATGTCTAACTTAAGGACTAGAAATAGTCAGAATCAATGAGACACCCTGTGTATATTGCTTTCAGAGGGTTTTAAATTTTACAATATGTTTAATGATCATTTAATGTTTAACAAAGTTTACACTTTCAACATTTTGATCTTCTATTTTCTATAAATTGACATTTGTTATAAAACATTAATTTTCGGGAATCTAGTCATTTTTTAAACCTCTTTTTAACCCTATTCCTGCTGGGGGGGGGGGGTCAATTTGACCCCCCCTGTAGTTTTTTTTACATAACTCAAAAAGTATTGGTCTGAGGCTGTTGAAATTTTCTGACTTTTCTTACATACCCAAAGCCCTCCCTTTAGGCCTTAAACCGGGCTTTAATACTAACTGCCTGAGTTCTCAGGCACACTGTCTGAATGACTGCTTTTGCCTGTATCAAACTAAATCTTTTTTTTGACCCACTTTCACTTGTCAGATTTTGATAAAATTTAGCTTTTTGGAAAGCCTATGACATAAGGAAACGGATTGCACAAGTTTTGCGAAAAAAAAATTACAAATTTTTTGCAAACAACCTGTCAAAGGAAATTTGCACATTTTTAGTTTTTCTTGATAAATAATCAGGTTATTTAAAATTTTGCAAAATTTTTGCATATTTGGAATGGCATGGTCAAGGGTTTTTCAAAAATGTATAATTTTTCATTTTTTGGACAAATTTTTTTTGCAAACATTTCTACTACATAACTGGAGTTTGCGATAAAAAATTCAATTTTTGCAAATTTGCAAATTTTTTTGCAGATTCTAAAAGTAGAGCACAAGAGCTTTCTAATGATGTATCATTTGTCATATTTGGACATAAAACATGGGATTTAGAGGGGGGTCAAATTGACCCCCCCCCAGCATATCCTGGTTTTCAAGTAACCCAGCAGGGATAGGGTTAAAGATGAGAAAGTACAGAAATGTAATAAAGCCTAGCCTAGAATATGATATTGTTCCACAACAGGTTCCATTGTGTACAACCGAATTACACGGCCAATAAATAGACGTCTGTATTCAGGGATATTTTAAGGATCCTTAAAAATTGACTAAATTCATAAATTTAATGTTTTATGTAAAAAGAAAGAATATTTTTTTAAATTGTAAAACTTAACCCTTGAACAGGTATTATATGCAACAAGTGGCCGTAAGATGGCAGTCGAAAATCTTTCGTGCAGCAGTCGTGACAGTACAGTTATAGTTAGCCTAGTCAATGAGAGCTTATGAGTGTATTATATCTATTCTTTTGTATATCGTATCCCATGGAACCTTAAAGATGTCTGCTTATTTTTTATGTACTCAACTTGTATACACAACATACCCCGCAGTAAAAATATCTCATATTCTAGCCTTTGATAGATCTCTGTACTTTTTCATCTCTGTTCCAAATAAACCATCTTCTGTTTTCACAAAACCCAAAATCTCGTTGTCTATTGTGCTACGAAAAGAAATATCGGGTTCTTAGTTTTCACTTTTTATGGTTATTTTACGACGTTTTATATCAAATAAAAAATCAATGTTTAAAAGAAAAGTTATTTTTCACTTTACTCTTTTTTGACAAAATACATTTTTTTTACAGTTGTAGTTCTTTGTTTCTATGTTTTCGTATGTGATAACCCGTCTCATCTCAAATTCTTTAGAACCAAAATATCGTCTAAAAGAATATTTAAATATATGTTGAAGTCAATAATCTGAATTGTTCGAAAGAATCAAAAGTTTCGTTTGAAGGTCAAATGATTGCCATTCAATATTTGTGGAAAATTTTGACAGTTTGTTCAAAAAGTTAAAATTGAATCTAAAGGGTTTTGTTTACCTTAGACCATGTTCGCCTTATTTTCTGCATTGGGTACTTGAAACACTGTAGGGAGTTATATTTCACCTCAGACTAATAAACAAATCTGGAATATCTGGTATTGCTCTACTAACATCTATCTGTCTATATATTGCAGGCATATATGCTATCTGGTATTGCTCTACCAACATCTATCTGTCTATATATTATAGGCATATATGTTGTCTGGTATTGCTCTACCAACGTCTATCTGTCTATATATTACAGGCATATATGTTATCTGGTATTGATCTACTAACATCTGTCTGTCTATATATTACAGGCATATATGTTATCTGGTATTGCTCTACTAACATCTATCTGTCTATATATTGCAGGCATATATGTTGTCTGGTATTGCTCTACTAGCATCTATCTGTCTATATATTGCAGGCATATATGCTATCTGGTATTGCTCTATTATCATCTATCTGTCTATATATTACAGGCATATATGTTGTCTGGTATAGCTCTACTAACATCTATCTGTCTATATATTACAGGCATATATGTTGTCTGGTATAGCTCTACTAATATCTATCTGTCTATATATTGCAGGCATATATGCTATCTGGTATTGCTCTACTAACATCTATCTGTCTATATATTACAGGCATATATGTTATCTGGTATAGCTCTACTAACATCTATTTGTCTATATATTACAGGCATATATGTTGTCTGGTATTGCTCTACTAACATCTATTTGTCTATATATTACAGGCATATATGTTGTCTGGTATTGCTCTACTAACATCTATCTGTCTCTCCTCTCCTTTGTTCTACTTCACTAAACTTGAAGTTATTGAAACACTTTTTTCGACAAGGTAAATATAATATTTAAAAATATACAATATATAATTACCCACACAAGATGAGACTACAGAGATGATTGTCTGTTCCTTTCATTTATTATTCCCGCAGCTGTAAAATAAGCCATAAAGATTGTTTTCAAGGCAAAGGACTTATTTAACCTAGGAATCGTCAAGTGTAAAGAGTTTCAGGTCGTCTTTACAGTTTCATTCTTTGTGGGTATCCCTATAGCAATATAGTAATATTTACAGTTCTGTGCATGTGCTTATTTTTTTTAATTGTTGGTTAAAAGTGGATTAATTTAACGGAATTTAGAACTTTTTAGGCATCTGTTTGTTCTTATTTCTTCATTATAGTAATGAGTTGGTTCTTATGTTCCGTATGATTGGTTATTTTTGCTCGTCAGCGATTTCGTTTCATTGAACTATATAATGTTCCTGTTAAGAAGCACTAATTTTATTATTTACGTTTCTTTTACATCATTTACGCATCTTCATGTCAATTCGGAGAATCGGAAAATTGAATTAATCAATTTTAGCTTCTCAATTTTCGAAAACAAATTCGTTTATAAAATGTTAAAACTTATAACTTTTTAATATAACTTCTAAAGGCTGCTGCAAGAGACAAAAATATCTTAAGAACTTTTTACATTAGTGTGTGATGTAAAATAATCGAAAATTTTTTGTTTTGAAATAAATAAAATACAATCGACTTTTAATCAATTTCCACAACAAAGACGATCTTACGAATTATTTATTTAAATTATGCAATACCTCTAAAGCTACTTCACATATTTGCACTATATAACTTTTTGGGCCCTGGACCTACAAGCTGGATTTTTAGATCCTACTCCTATAATTTTATTCCTACCGTGAGTAAAGTAAATAAACTCTCCCAGTCTAGATTAGGGTTTGCAGCGAAAAGGAAAAATTGTTTCACGAATATTTCGCATTTTTCGCGAAAAAAAATGTTCGCGTAAATGTTTGCAATTTTTCGCATTTCGTTCGCTCGCGAAAAATGCGAAATTTCGCTTCAATCTGTTTTGGGAATAAATGCGAAATTTTCGCGAAGAAAATAATGCGAAAATTTCGCGAAAAAAAGAATGCAATAATTTAGAGCAAAAAAGAATCAAAAAGTTAAGAAAAGGAAGAAAAATTGCTAATATTACATAAAAAACTTTTTTGAGCTATTAGAGCAGAAAATTACAATTTTTTTGCGTAATTAATTGTTGCAGGAGTTTTTTGCCCCTAAATTTTTAACGAAATTTTCGCATTTTAGGGAAAACAAGCTTTGCGAAATTTCGCATCGTTTTCGCATTTTTTCGTTTTTTCATTTCCGTGAAAAATTGCGAAATAGTTTCCGAAATGCGAACGAATATTTTCGCATTTTTTCGCGAAACGTTTTGTTCGCTGCAAACCCTAGTCTAGATATGTCGTGTTACTCTGGTATTAAAGTCGTGTTTTTAGAACTTTAATCTCTCCTAATATCAAACTTTATAAAGATAAACTCTCCTAGTTGTAGACAAGTGTCGAGTTAATGTCGAAATAAAGTCCTGATTTTACATTTTTTTACACTTTAAATTTTTTTCTTAACATATTGTATATTTAGGACCTACTCCTACTGTTACGAAGCCTGGAGTTCTCAATACCTAAGATTAATTTATACTGTCATCTGTTTTCTTACACAGTTCGTGATACCTTCTGCTATAGTGGGATGGGGATACTACAGGTAAAGAGGGTGGGTCTGGCATTATTCAGACCCCCTTGCCTCCCCTAGTTAAGAATTATAATATAGAGCGCTACTCATTTCCTTTGACCATATTTAAATTAGTTTTATGGGGTTTATTCGCTGAATTGGGAAAGTGAATAAAGCTTTTGTTAAAAGTTATCAAAGTTGTCATTTTTCTCCCTTATCTTGAAAATCATTCTTAAAATTTTTGAAGAAATTGCAAAGATTTAAATTTTTTAATGATAATTCTTCAGTGAACCAATAGCGAATAAAGAAGTGTAAACTTCAAAAGAAAAAATTCGAAATATTTTAGAATGAATTTATAACTTTGATATTCTCATAAATCTGAATTCTTCAATTCTGTAAAAACTTTATTTTTCTGATATCTGAAAAGAAATATTAGAGATATTCTTTACGGTCCAAAACTTTTTCCTTCAATCATTTGCTAATGTGTTCGAGAATCTAACTTATGTTCTTTGTAAAAGTTAAACATTGACCTTTTACGATATAATTTCGGAGTTATTTTTCATTTTTTAAGGCTTTGTAATATTTTCTGAAAAAAAAACAAAGACCGGAATTTTGAAATAGTTCGAGTAATGTTTATCATTTTGGAAAAAGGGTCCTACAAATTTTCCGATAAAGAAAAACAATCATTTTTCAAAACGTTTCAGAACTTGAACAGAACAATTATTTGATCATTTCCATATGTCAATTGTTAACCGTGATTCCGATGGAAAATTTTATTGTTCAGAATTCATAGCAAAAAAAAACAGAACAATTTTAGCAAATTAATTTTGGGATTTTTTTTTCAGGATTTGCCAAACCTTGTCCCAATCTTCCATTCCCTCTACCCTGTCCACACACAGGTACTTTACAATACTGTTGTACTGTTGTACTGTTCTATAAACTGTACAATAATATACACTGTTGTACTGTTCTATAAACTGTACAATACTATACACTGTTATACTGTTCTATAAAATATACAATACTGTTCACTGTTGTACAGTTCTATAAACTGTACAATACTGTACACTGTTGTACTGTTCTATAAACTGTACAATACTGTACACTGTTGTACTGTTCTATAAACTGTACAATACTATACACTTTTGTACTGTGTCATAATCTGTACAATACTACACACTGTTGTACTGTATTATGAATTGTACAATATTGTACAGTACACTGCTGTACTGTATCATAATATGTACAATACTGCACACTGTTATACATATTGTATCGCAAACTGTGTCACCCTGTAGTAAACCCTGCTGTACTGTTTCATAAACTCCACACTGCTGTACCGTACAATACTATAATACTGTACAGTACTGCACACTGTTGTACTATATCATCAACTGTATACTGCTGTATACTATGCTGCATGATACTATTCAATACTGTGTACAACACTTCATTTACAAACAAAATTTTATTTTATTTCAAAATGCAAAAAATATTGATAAGGAAAAATGATCACCATAAAGGAGGTTACACAAGTTCCATTGAAATTTTTAACACTGTAAATGAATAAACAGTAAACTATTCTAAAAAATATAAAGTACAATAATGTATTTAATATACCAAACGTTTATAATGTTTAAAGTTTTATAACTAAATTTTAGAATTTTGAAAAATGCGAATCATTCATTAATATTTTACATTTCTCAAGGGAATTTATCAAAGAAAAGAAACAAATTGATAAACAGTGACAGTTACTCTGTAGAAAAATACTCAGATTGAAAAATAAGTATTTTGTCGAAATACATATTTTATTTGTCTACGTGACATTTTTGTTATTTCTTTAACTCTATTTCTTCTTATTATAATTCCGGAGAATTGATTCTTTACATTATTTCTTTCACCTACTTTTCAAGTCAGAGGATAATCTACGATATACTTCTAATATATACTTCTTTGTTTTCCTGTTTTTGTATATTATTTACTATTATAACTCATTTTCGTCGACTCCTATTCATTATTTTGAGCAAGGGAGGGTTTCTATTCATTATTAAAATTGTAGAGGGCCTTATATTCATTGTAATGATTGTAGGAGGGAGCTGAAACTAAAACTAAGCTTAAGACTGCCAGTTTTTGCCCACTATGTATTTAATATTTTTGTTATTATAATGGAAGGTGGGCTCCTAGCCTCCTAGTCATTATTATAATTGTAGGAGGGCTCTTATTCATTATTATAATTACAGGAGGGCTTCTATTTATTATTATAATTGCAGGAGGGCTCCTATTCAGTATTATAATTGTAGGAGGGCTCCCATTCAGTATTATAATTGCAGGATGGCTCCTATTTATTATTATAATTGTAAGAAGGCTCCTATTTATTATTATAATTGCAGGAGGGCTCCTATTAATTATTATAATTGTAGGAGGGCTCTTATTCATTATTATAATTGTAGATGGGCTCCTATTTATTATTTTAATTGTAGGAGGGTTCCTATTCAGTATTATAATTGTAGGAGGGCTCCCATTCAGTATTATAATTGTAGGAGGGCTCCCATTTATTATTTTGATTGTATGAGGGCTCCTATTCATTATTATAATTGTAGGAGGGCTCCTATTCATTATTTTAATTGTAGGAGGGCTCCTATTCATTATTTTAATTGTAGGAGGGCTCTTATTGATTATTACAATTGTAGGAGGGCTCCTATTCATTATTGTAGGAGGGCTCCTATTCATTATTTTAATTGTAGGAGGGCTCCTATTCATTATTATTTTTGTAGGAGGGCTCCTATTCATTATTATAATTGTAGGAGGGCTCCTTTTCATTATTATAATTGTAGGAGGGTTCCTTTTCATTATTATAATTGTAGGAGGGCTCCTATTCATTATTTTAATTGTAGGAGGGCTCCTATTCATTATTAAAATTTTAGGAGGGCTCGTCAGATGGCAAGAAGACGAAAGACCAACTTGATGCTTGTGCTGGTCAGTGTGCTGTTCTTTATATCCTGGGCTCCTCTAAATATATTCAACACTGTTCTTGATGTAACCAGTCTATTTAAAGTAAATATTAATCTTATATTTTTCCTTTATTTAAACTTATTTGATCCTCTTATTTCAGTTTCATCTATCCTTAATTAATTTAATTCAGTTAACCTGAAGAAAACATAAAGATAAATATATTTTTGGCTCTTAATTCACTTGTTTATCTTTTATGAGTTTGCATAGGGATTCAATTACTTAGTTTTTTTATATGGTATCTTTATAGGCTAAAGCTAATTATATTTTCTTATGTTTTCTCTAATGCAGAGGAGAGAAATTACTATTAGTGTGAATAGAAAGCAATTAATTGAATCAACTCAAGGTAGCATCTCTCTAATACAAAAACTAAACCGTAAATCCTGGAAGGAGAAAAAAGAAAATTTTAAGTAACAGTCTTTGCAAAGTAACTAGTTATTGCCAAGAAAACTTTAAGTAACTGTCTTTGTAAAGTAATTAAGTTATTGTGACAAAATGGACAACCATTTCTTACTGATATTGAAGTTTTTTTTTTTACTATAGTTCATTTAAAATGTCATAAAAAATAATAATAAAATAATTACTATTTTAATCAATAAAGGGATTGAGTCTTTGTCACAAAATCTGAATTCATAATCCATATATTTTTGGAACCCAATGTTCCAAATCTTTGATATTTCAAACTGACATTATTTGATCTAACAAAATTCGTAGTTTGAAATATCTTAGGTCACGACATTGGAATCCAAAGATATAGGGGTTAGAAAAGCTGAGTTTGTGGCAAAGACTCAATTCCTTTATCGTGAAAATAGACTTGACTGAGATTGTGATATACTTTTAAAAAAACATTAAAAACTTAACTATCTATATAATTAAACAAGACATTCGTATATATGTTGCGTATAGCTGGCCAAACGGCTGGACCGATTGGGCTGCACTTTTTTTTGTGGACACTCATGGGTGACCGGGAGTGTTATAGACTAAAAAAAATCTGAAATTTTTTTTGTTCAACATTTTTTACACGGACAGCTTCGGGCCCGTTATAAAGTGGATTACAAAATTTAGAAATTTCTTTTTGTACAAACATTTAGTTTTTATGAAGTATGAGTTATATTAAGTTTACTAAATCGATGTCCTCACATGAAAAGAGCATTGAAATATCTATTATAAAACTGAAGAGTCTATAGATAGATTGTTTGAGTGGTATTTTGTAAAAGGACAAAATCAAAAAGGAATATTTTTTTCGATAAAGTGTTAAAATTCTCTTAATCTAATCCGAAAAAAAAGTTCAAAATGAGGATACAAATACATATTTTGTTATTTATCAAATGCCCATATCATAGAAAAGATTAATTTTTCCTCTAAAACTTGCATGATTGATAACTATACTTGTGGGATGAATATATCATAATAATAAAAGTTTAAATTTTTTCCATACCACTTCTGTTCAACATAATCTCGAGAATGGAAACCATATTCTAATATTGAAAGCCCGAAAAATCTTTATTTGCTGGGAGTTTAATGACTAATTTCAAATTAATTTCAAGTGACTCAACGTAAAGTGCGGCTCGATTCACGGTTCCCAATGAGCGGGGGAAGGCATGCAACCATGAGCCACCACTATTTCTCTTCCGTACCACCGCATTTGACTCTTCCGGGCAAAACTGCTTTTTCAAATGATATATTTAAGGCCTTTAAAGTGTGATTTTCAAAAATCCAACCACGTCATGCAAAAAATATATATATTCAAATCTGTATATTAAAGTGTTTAAAGGAAAAAATGATGATTCCTCTTAATGTAAACTGCAAAACATTTTTTTTGCAAATCTAAATTCTGATTTTCATAAAAATGGCTTATTTTTGAGAGCAATATGAATATTAAATATGACGCATCATAAAATACACTTTAGTTTTGAAGGGTACCCTTGTGTGAAAATGTACAATTTATTAATATAAAATTGCTTAAAAACGGTTTTTTTTTGATAAAATCTGTAACGCGTAAGTAATGACAGTAAATATTGTGATTTTCATAATTTTTTCTTATTCTTCAGACTACTCGGAACAATTCTTCTCTGCTCCTACAATATAAAAAATTGCTTTGTTTACCAACTAAATTCTAAAACAAACGACCTCTTTTTATATATTAATATATTAATCTTATGTAGAATTAAGAAAAATGGTTTGAGTTGTGCTTTTTTTGCGTGACACGGCTTGATTTTTTAAAATCACACTTTAAAGGCCCTGATAAATTAATTATTTAAAAAAGTATTTTTGCCCTGAAGAGTCAAATGTGATGGTACGGAAGAAGAAATAGTGGTGGCTCATGGCTGCCGAAAGAAAAAAGCTAATATGTGGCCCGGAAGAGGAAATAGTGGTGGCTCATGGCCGCCTGCCTTCCCCGCTCTCCCAATGAAACCCTTCTCTAGATGAAACAAAATGGAGGCAACATTGTATTTATGCTTAAAAATTGAATATTTTTAACCCTATTCCTGCTGGGGGGGGGAGGGTCAATTTGACCCCCCCCCTGTAGTTTATTTTACATAACTCAAAAAGTATTGGTCTGAGGCTGTTGAAATTTTCTGACTTTTCCTACATACCCAAAGCCCTCCATTTAGGCCTAAAACCGGGCTTTAATACTAACTGCCTGAGTCCTCAGGCACACTGCCTGAATGACTGCTTTTTCCTGTAACAAACTAAATCTTTGTTTTGACCCACTTCCACTTGTCAGATTTTGATAAGATTTAGCTTTTTGGAAAGCCTTTGACATAAGGAAACAAATTGCACAAGTTTTGCGAAAATAAATTGCAAATTTTTTGCAAACAACCTGTCAAAGGAAATTTGCACATTTTTAGTTTTTCTTGTTTAAAAATTAGGTTATTTAAAATTTTGCAAAAATTTTTGCATATTTGAAATGGCATGGTCAAGGGCTTTTCAAAAATGTATAATTTTTCATTTTTTGGACAAATTTTTTTTTCAAACATTTTTACTATATAACTGGATTTTGCGATAAAAATTTCAATTTTTGCAAATTTGCAAATGTTTTTGCAGATTCTAAAAGTAGAGCACAAGAGCTTTCCAATGATGTATCATGTCATATTTGGACACCAAACATGGGATTTAGAGGGGGGGGTCAAATTGACCCCTCCCCCAGCATATCCTGGTTTTCAAATACCCCAGCAGAGATAGGGTTAATTGAGGTTTCTTTATAAAAGTGACTTATTTCTGCAGCATAGAAAATGAAGGAAAATGTCAGATATCAAAACTTTTAAGATAAAAACTATGAAATATTCTTTATTTTTACAAAGTTTAGTTAAAGGGTACCAATAATAATCGCACTTGCTTAAAGATACGTCTAAAGAGAGCCATTTTATCCTGGAACCTAGTCAGTGTACAGGGATACCCACAAATGATGAAACAAACTCGTCTACAGTGGTAGGCGATTATATCAATACAATGAAGACGACTTCCGATTTTGATTTTAATTAACATCAAGCTGTCAAACATCGTGGATACACATAAACATAGATTTCAAAAGAAGCTGTCAGTTTGAAAAGCTTCTCTTTGATTACTTGTAAACATGTATTTCAAAAAAGCTTGTTATAATTAAAACTTAAATAAAAAGTAGTCTTCATTGTATTTATATAATCGCCTATTACTGTATATAAACCGATTAATATTATGCTTAAAATCAAAATTTGGTATATATCGTTTCAATACACTTGCTGCTGGAGACAAACATATGGAGAGAAATGGAAATAGTTTAATTTAAAGTTAAATTAACTTAATTTAATTTAATTAAATGTAAAACGGGTTTCCAAGAAACTGACTCATTTAATGACACAATTTAATTAAGATTATGTTCTTTCCACTTTGCACTTGATGAATGAACATTTAAGGGGTTTGACCAAAAGAAATTTCAAAAAAATAATATGACATTTATAAAATAACTAAATTTTAATTGTTGCTCTATCTGCTGCATTTCTACTCTTAAAGTATCAAACAATGGCATACATTTTTTCGCGGATTTATTGATTTTTTTTTCGTGGATTTTGAAAAATCTAATTTTTTAAAGGCAAACTGTGTAGTCCCACAAAAAATTGGGCCGTATCGGATATGGCGTTTTGACGTTTATTGGATAAAAACAAACAAACAAAAGGCAAGCAAAGTATTTTTAAAAGATGTCATGAAAACAAACAAAACTGTTCGAGTGAGTAAACCACGATTTCCTGAAAGATTTTGAAATTTCTAATGAATTATAATTAACAGAAAACTGATCTCAAACAGATGTAATGAACGTACTGGGTTACTCACAATGGATAAGATTTTAATAACGGCTTAAAACTCATCAAATTTGGTATGTGGCCTAGATAATGCATTTAGATAAAATATCAAATGAATTTGTTGGAAAAACAGGAATGTCAGAAAAAGATTGAACAATTTCCTTCTTTTGTTGGCAAACCTCAACCCTGTAGAACCTTTAAGTACCATCAGTGCTATCCAAAGAAAATAGAATATATATTAGAGTGGAATTTACTAGAAAAAAATATAAAACGGCCATTTTGTTGTACTGTTTCCAGACTGCAGGTGTACTTCTCATATTTGTGCTGTATAACCTTTTGGGCCCTGGAACATCATTTTATAGAAAATCTAAAATTAATATTAAAAAAAAACAAATTATGAAATAGGCAGGTTTCATAATTTCATGATTTTCCGTTATAACTATAAATCAAATGATGTTTTTATTCACATAATTCATTTTATTTAACAGCTTTGAAAATTCGAAATTGAAATGGATAGTCTAGGGACCAGACTGTATTAATGTACTCTACTGCATATAATTTGTGAACATTTACATGATTTGCACACTTTGAACTTCCTTTCTGGTCGAAAGGGACTGACAAAATTCATACCAAGAGATTTTCTAAATTCCACTCTAATATTCTCTCTTTGGTGCTATCAGTGCCAGTAGGAAATTCAAATAGTCTAATCGATAATCTTACCAAGTTGCATCAAAATGAAATTTTTGGTGTTTATAGTGAAAAAGTTAAAATTATATTTTAATTTCCATTTTTTTGATAAACAAACCATTACAATTTTAGCTTATTATCTGGTCAAAATGTGTTAAAGAGCAAAAAGTTATTAAATGCTAATAAATGTTACCTTATTTTTTATTTCGCTCTTTATTTTCTTTTCTTAAAACAAAATGCATTCTTCTCTTAAGATGAAAAATGTTTACCACTTACATTTTCCTCCATTGTTTCCGAGACGCAAGCTAGTTTACAAAGAAACCACGAATAAAAATTATTATTTTTTATAGAGATTGATGTCTCCTGCATTTTATGTAATTTCTTGACTAAGCTTTTGTGTGTATCAGATAAGCCACTCTCATAAATGGGGAGTTACTAGAAATTAAGTCTCTGTATAAAATCTTGTAACCTGACCTTAAAATACTAAACAATTTTCTGTGTAATTTAGGATATTGTTGTTATTTTCTCGATTTTACATCGTTAATACCTAAAAGAAGCAACTCAAATTTTAAATCAAAACATATCATACAACAGTGCAGGGATTATGAAGAGCCTTCTTTGGAGGGGTCAGAGTTTCAATTTTTTCCCAAACTCAAACAGGTCATGGAAAGTAACATTACTTTTTAAACATATTTGTAAGATCCCCTACATTTAAAAAGGCCAGATCTTTTTCAAACCAACTAGTTATTCTAAGTTTGATGGGAAGTATTGACCGCTCTAGCTATAAACTTGTAATTCTTCTGTAGGACAATATTGATATGGAGGGTCTCCTGGTTTGGTTTTCAGTATCTAATAATAAACTTGTAATTCTTCTATAGGACAATATTGACATGGAGGGTCTCCTGGTTTGGTTTTCAGTATCTAGCAATAAACTTGTAATTCTTCTAAAGGAAAATATCGACATGGAGGGTCTCCTGGTCTGGTTTTCAGTATCTAGCTATAAACTTGTAATTCTTCTGTAGGAAAATATTGATATGGAGCCTGGAGGGTCTCCTGGTCTGGTTTTCAGTATCTAATAATAAACTTGTAGTTCTTCTATAGGACAATATTGACATGGAGGGTCTCCTGGTCTGGTTTTCAGTATCTAATAATAAACTTGTAATTCTTCTATAGGACAATATTGACATGGAGGGTCTCCTGGTTTGGTTTTCAGTATCTAGCAATAAACTTGTAATTCTTCTAAAGGAAAATATCGACATGGAGGGTCTCCTGGTCTGGTTTTCAGTATCTAGCTATAAACTTGTAATTCTTCTGTAGGAAAATATTGATATGGAGCCTGGAGGGTCTCCTGGTCTGGTTTTCAGTATCTAATAATAAACTTGTAGTTCTTCTATAGGACAATATTGACATGGAGGGTCTCCTGGTCTGGTTTTCAGTATCTAATAATAAACTTGTAGTTCTTCTATAGGACAATATTGACATGGAGGGTCTCCTGGTCTGGTTTTCAGTATCTAATAATAAACTTGTAATTCTTCTATAGGACAATATTGACATGGAGGGTCTCCTGGTCTGGTTTTCAGTATCTAATAATAAACTTGTAATTCTTCTATAGGACAATATTGACATGGAGGGTCTCCTGGTTTGGTTTTCAGTAGTTCATCTCTCCGCCATGAGTTCAGCTTGTCTTAACCCTATCCTCTACGGGTTCCTCAATGAAAACTTCAAACAGGTTAAGAATAATTTGCTATATCTTATAGTAAGAGTAAAACTGTTTTATCGAAAATGTCAAATTGAACTGGGGAATCAGAAGATCTGTCTTAAACCCCTGAATACCTTCCATTTTCCCGTTTGTTTGATTTAAGGTTAAACAACTAGTTTTCTTTACACTCTGGCAAATATTCTTTAAAAAACCTTTTTTCTCCTGAACGTAGTTAATTGATTATTAAGTATTTTATGAACTCAGTGTTTTAAGACAAACATTTTGATACCTATATCCCCCTACCTCACTTAGGCTCTGGTCAATTCTTGACCAAAATATAATTGTAGAGCATTCACACCATTGTGACCAAAATATAATTTCAGAGCATTAACATTATCCTGACCAAAATATAATTTCAGAGCATTCACATTAACCTGACCAAAATATAATTTCAGAGCATTCACATTAACCTGACCAAAATATAATTTTAGAGCATTCACATTATCCTGACCAAAATATAATTTTAGAGCATTCACATTATCCTGACCAAAATATAATTTTAGAGCATTTAAATTATCCTGACCAAAATACAATTTTAGAGCATTCACATTATCCTGCCCAAAATATAGTTTTAGTGCAGTCACACTATTCTGACCAAAATATAATTGTAGAGCATTTACATTATCCTGACCAAAATATAATTTTAGAGCATTCACATTAACCTGACCAAAATATAATTTTAGAGCATTCACATTATCCTGACCAAAATATAATTTCAGAGCATTCACATTATCCTGACCAAAATATAATTGTAGAGCATTAACATTATCCTGACCAAAATATAATTTTAGAGCATTCATATTAACCTGACCAAAATATAATTTTAGAGCATTCACATTATCCTGACCAAAATATAATTTTAGAGCATTCACATTAGCCTGACCAAAATATAATTTTAGAGCATTCACATTATTCTGACCAAAATATAGTTTTAGAGCATTCACATTAAACTGACCAAAATATAGTTTTAGAACATTCACACCATCCTGACCAAAATATAATTTTAGAGCATTCACATTAGCCTGACCAAAATATAATTTTAGAGCCTTCACACCTTCCCGATCAAAATATAGTTTTAGAGCATTCACTCCATACTGACCAAAATATAATTTTAGAGTATTCACACCATTCTGACCAAAATACCATTCGTGAAAAATATTGTGAACACTTCCCATCATAGTCAGGTAAATAATTGACAGCTGCTTGACGAGCTGTTTGACAAACTATATGACAGGTGTTTGACAGCTGTTTTACGTCTGCTTTACAAGTTGCTTGAAAAATGTTTATTTTAAGTTACCGTTAGTTAACGATCTCGATTTTATTAATGGCGTTAAAGGAAAATTTTCAACAATTGGTTAATTCATTAAATAGCATATTTTGTATGATATTTACAAAAACAAAAGATTCTTAAAGCAGAAGACGACATTTTAAAACATCAAAACACATAAAAAATATTGCTTTAAACAAGTTAAATGCAATTTTTAGCCGAAAAAAAAGAAATTCACCATGTAAAAAAATTAAATCGGTGTTTTTGCAACTGTTTATTTTTTTTCTTCAAAAACGGCTACTCCGTTTTGTTAACAATTTAAAAATTAACCCGGACTCTTCAGTTAATTTTCGAAAACCTCAGTATCGTTAACTGAACTTTGCTCAGCCCTACTCATACAGTGGGACACAAATAAATTTGGAATATGAAGACGACTGTTAGACTAAACATATGAGTTTAATTAGTACATTGGACATACAACATAGCAATTGAACAGATGTCTCGAGTAATTGATATAAAACTGTGTCAAATTTATACGAAAATTCATATATATATGCAATATTGCGTAAAAGTTTTAGTAATAAACAGATCATATTCCAAAAGATAGAGACCAATCTGAAAACAATTATATCCCACAGAAACCTGAGAATGTCAGGTTTAATCCTGTTATAATTATTTAATCTTTATTTTGCATTTTTAATAGATATAATTGATAATATTATTACATATAGTCCGTATAGTCTGTATTACGTCACCGGAACTTCAGCCAATGGCAGTGCAGTATACTAGACACATGATTTCCATCTGTATCACGTGACCAGTATACTGCACTCTCATTGGCGAAGTTCTTGTGACGTAATAATATTATCAATTATGTCAATTGAAAATGCAAAATAAAAATTAAAAATTATAATGGGAGCTGACCTGAGATTTTCAGGTTTCTGTGGGATACAATCGTTTTCAGATTGTTTGCGTAATTGCTTAATATGATCTGTTCAAACCTATTCTTTTTATACAAAATTTCATATATATATATAGATTTTCTTATAATTCTGAAACAGTTGTATATTAATTTCTCCAGACAGAAACATCTGATAGATGTCTTATATATATCGTTCAATGCCTAAGATTCTCAGATTTAATTTTTCCGTTACAGTCCTTTTAATATGTACATTTCAAAATTGCAACGCTCTTGTATCTAGTTTGTGTTTAAAAGGAGTGATTGTCAAAATACTTCTCGATTTTTGCATGAGAGCGTGCATAGTTTGGTTTCCAGTGAGAGACCTATAAGTTCAGAATGTTGTGTGGATTATATTGTTTTTCTTGAACGCTTGATCTAGATATCCAATGCTGTTACTTTTATTTGATGATTTATGCTTAAACCCTCAATAAAATGATCATAATCTTGAGCTTAAATAAAGATTAAAATGATCTGCAGATTAACAAAGATCGATATTTAACATTGATTTTCTAATTGTATATCTTTGCAACCTTTCTTTTTTGATACTATTAGGTTTCCATATCCGGTGCAACAGAGTGTGTCTCGGTCAAAGATAATAGATTAATATAGCGTGGAATTACCTCGGAAGAAAGTAAAAAACCGCCATTTTGTTTTCTTGTTTCCATACGGCAGGTAGACTTCACACAGTTGTGCTTTATATTCTTTTGGTCTCTGAAATATCTTTTATATACAAAAATAATTTCTTAACAATTGTTTCATTTTCTTTAAATCAATTTTCTGACAATTCTTGTCATGCTTACCCTGTTTTATCATAAGCTACAGAGCGTCCCATATCATATTAGATTATCTCCAATCATTAGCGCCAAAATACGCACATGATACTCGAAAAATCTAGCATTTTCTGCAAAAATAAATTCTATTAGCCTTATTAAATGTTTCAAAATGATTCATTCTTCTTAAATTTTCTGATTTGTCCCCCAAATCGTAATTTAGACTCATTGACGCGGTCTTATTTGATGTGGGACACCCTGTACATCAATAGAAATCAATATAATGTTTTTTTCAGTAAAAAACGTATACAATTATTTTTGGTAATCAAACAACTTTACAACTTTGTATAAAGAAGTTATTGTAACAATTATTTCCAGGGTTTGTATTATCTTGAAGTACTGAGTATAATTGGTGAACATTTACATGAATTGTACACTCCTTTTCAGGCTCAAAGGGACTGAACAAATTCATATCGAGAAACAGTTGTATTTCTCTTCTGTTCTAATCTCTGTTCTGTGGTCTCGGTTGTAAAGCTTCAAGACAAATTGATTATTAATTTTAGAACGGCCAAGTGAGCAGGGCTTCTAATCCTTCTCCTCATCAAACCGGGATCAGGGAAATTAGATATTTTAATATTGTAATTTCTAGATTAAAGATATTGTAAACATAATCTCATGTGGTCTTCCATTAAACGAGCTTGAAATGTCCAAAACAGTATTATACCGTTGTAAATCGGAGATGTTCCTTTAAAATGGAAGGTCACTTGAAATTACGATAACAGTCCCTTTAAACTTTTCATTATAATAATTGAAAATAACTTTCTTAATTTTATGATATACTTTACAAAGACATGTTTTCTATTAGGAAAAATGTGATATCTACCCAAGGTTATAATGCAAGGAAAGTTATTTCAGAGGTGTACGCATCTTTTGTACTGCAGTGTACTGTCTCTGGGCGGTAATGTAAACACAAGACGGATGTCATGACATGGGATCCATCTTTCACATAAAAAAGCAATGAAATATTCTGGCCATAGGAAACTATTATGTGAATTATCAAAAGTTTCAAAATTCAATGCTTTTATCATCCTCGGATACTGAACAAACACTGATGCATCTATTCTTGTTTACAAATTCCGCCCAGAGAGATCTGGTTTCAATATGTACGCAGAGTATACGCAACTATTATTAACTTTCCTTGCATTATAACCTTGTATCTACCTCATTTTGACGCAGACATCTAGAGGCTAGAGGTTTAAAGGGTACAATTGTGAATTGTCCATGCCCCGTTTTAACTGAAGGAACAGTTGGAATTATGTCTACAGTCCCTTAAAATAGTGTAAACAGTGTTGGGAGGTTGTGTAAATATTTTTCAAAACAGATTACGTCAAAAATATTTATGTTGATTGATACGTAAAAGACATATATCAATAACAACACAGATAAAACACTAGATGTCGCCCTAAGGCAGAACCCCAAAGGAGTTATGCGTATGCTCTTTGTGCCTTGTCATTCAACGCGGTAGGCGTGTAACTCCTTTGGGCCTCTACTTCAGGGTTATTGTGATAAAACCTTAAATCTTGAATAGACGACTTGTATTTTGTATTGTTATTAATCTATGGTTAACGACTTAAACTAAAATATCTTAAAATTTATAGAGGACGTATCACTGCACTTAGAAGGATAGCTTCAATGAGGTATTTTATCAAGTTTATTCAGGACATTTTATCCAGAGATTTGATCTTTTTTTAAATTTAGATCAAATTTGTGTGGAATTTTTTCTTATCGTTATTTTTTTTTTTGGGGTGGGGGGGGGGGAAGTCAAGGTTCGAAAACCAAATAAATATTTGGGCAATTTAATTTTGTGTCCATCAGTTTTTCATCTCAAAGATTGACATTAAAGGTAAAAATGATACTGATTTCTGATTACTCTTCTCACACTCTACTTTTACTACCCTTCTCTAAAAAACCTTGAACATTTCAAACTAAAGAATTCTGTTAGATAAAATTAATGGTAAATGTACGTTTGAAATATCAAACATTTACACGATTAGGTTGCACTGAATAAGTGAATAGAATAAGGTTTCAGGCGATTTAAAAAAATAACAATTTAAGAAATAAAATATTAAAATCTAAATATTTATAATCTTCGTAAACTATTTAGGCTATGAATGAAAAGTTTTTTATTCACTTGTAGACCTTTTTTATTGATACAAAATCAAATACGATTTAATAATGTAGTCTTTAAACTCTCCTTTTTATTGGAACACGCTGTACAATGTATTTCTCTAGGCCCCGAGTTCAGGAGATGGACGTGCTATCTCCAACCCATCCAGGAGTAGGTGGTGTACCTAAACCCTGTATCCTGGTCACCCCGGCAGCAGAGGGAGTCTCCAGTAATGGTTCGGTCAACTTCAGCTCCCCTGAACAAGAGGGGACGGGGACAGAGTATATAACAACATCTCTATAATTGTACTATTATAATAATAGATCTTTAATGTACTCCCCAGGAGGGGTCAGAGTATTCAACAACAGTTCTATAATCTACTCCCCAGGTGGGGTCAGAGTATACAACAGATCTGTAATCTACTCCCTAGAAGGGTTCAGAGTATCCAGCAGTTCTATAATCTACTCCCCAGGAGGGGTCAGAGTATACACCAGTTCTATAATCTACTCCCTAGGAGGAGTCAGAGTATACAACAGCAGTTCTATAATATACTCCCATGAGGGGTCAGAGTATACAACAGTTCTTTAATTTACTCCCCAGGAGGGGTCAAAGTATCCAACAGATCTCAATCTACTCCCCAGGAGGGGTCAGAGTATTCAACAACACCCTAGTGGAATCCCCCCTTAGAGGAGGTGTGCGACGTACGTACGTGAAATACATTTGTAAAGCCAACTGATCAGTTCATCTTAGAAAACTAAACCTCAAAGTTATAAATTTAATGAAAAAAAACTAAAATATTTTCATCCAATTTAAAAAAGATAAAAAAGTTGTTTTTGTCACGTGTTTGATGAATCTCCATTTTTCAAGAGCTTTCCAAACAGTTTAAATCTTAGCTCAAATAAACAAAAAATCATCAGCTTCTTTTTTGTTAATAAAATAGAATGCAGTACCGTATAGCTTTCCAAAAGAAATCTGTTAATTTCCTTGATTTCCTTATTCTTAAAAAACATTTTTATTGTGAATCCCAAAATTGATCGTGTATTGTAAACTCCAGATGAAAACTAATATTAGCTGTAAAGCTCTCTTCGTTTACCCACAAAGAATGCGACTTCAATACGCCAATGAACGACTATATTAGGTGTTCTTTACAATCTCATGTTTTATGGGTAACCCTTTATGTTTCAAAGAGAGACTGAATAATACTCATGTTCTACAGTGGGACCCAAAAAGCTGTAGATTAGAAAGACGACATTTAACCAATTTTTTTATGAATTTGATGTTGTTATGAAGCAAAGAGTTATACCAGTAGCCTGGCAACTAACTTAGTAAGTGAAATGTATCTGTTTGCGTTTCATGCTCATTGCACCATTTAAAGCAAAGGTATACAGGGTACCGTTGTGAATCAGACATGCCATTACTTGGATGGAGCCTGAAGGGTCAATTTCAATTACGTCTTGAGTCTCAAAACTCACAAAAACCTCTTTAAATCAAAATTTACATTGCAATAAAGTGCTCGAAAGTTTCTAAATTAGTAAATCTTTAAAGAAATGTGTTGCTTATTTATACTATAAGACTCTATTTTTAAAATTTAGTGCGCGCATGAAATATAGTGATAATGAAAAAGCATTTTTAGAATGTATAACTGTATAACTTTCTCATGGCTAGTAGATCGTATATTTTTATTTTCAATGCTGTTAGCATTTTCTTTTCCCAGTTTGTAAATTACCATTATATTCGAGCATAAAAACTTACTGAGCGTATGCTATATATGTTTTAAATCCCTCCAAATATAAGCAAAGATTATAAGCTTTATGTAGAGGCTTAACTTAAACCAGTGGCCCGTGTTATAAAATGACAAAAGAACATTGTAAGAAATATCTGTTGAAGGGAGTGTAAACGTTAGTTTAACATTCGATGCAAAAATGGCAATGTCATATTCACAACAGTTTCCTTGAAACCTTTATCTGATCAATAATGAGGAAAATATCGTCGTTTTTCTAGCTTTAGATTTGTTAATTCTGATAGTTCCTTTCTATTTCCTGCAGCATAAATTCCCTAGTCACTTATGTAGAGAACCCACTATTGAAAATAATCCGTTTTCAAAAATTATATAAAAATTGACATTCAATTCAAACTTGAGAAGACCGTTGGGATTTGGGCAATGCCATCTTTTGCATGGAGGGTCACCTAAAATACGCTTACTTTCACTTGAAGTTTTAAAATAATTGTGATAAAAATGTATATGATCTAATCCGACCAATGATGAGAGGACAACTGTAAACAAAAACTTTATCATCGGAATTTTGGTCCAAGTAATTCTTAGCATTAGACAATTTAAGTAAATGTAACCTTATGCTACGTTATTAATGTACAGTGTACATGTAATTTGAAATATAAAATGTAACCTTATGTGACGTTATTACTGTACAGTGTACATGTAATATGAAATATAAATGTAACCTTATTTGACGTTATTACTATACAGTGTACATGTAATATGAAATATAAAAATAACCTTATTTGACGTTTTACTGTACAGTGTACATGTAATATAAAATATAAATGTAACCTTATGCGACGTCATTACTAGTGTACAATGTACACTGTACATGTAATATGAAATATAAATATAACCTTACGTAATGTTAATACTGTATAGTTTACACGTAATATGAAACATTAATATAATCTTATGCGACGTTATTACTGTACAGTGTACATGTAATATGAAATATAAATGTAACTTTATGTAACGTTAATACTGTACGTTGGTTCATAATGATATATTTTGAAGGCCAAACTATTTTTGAAAATGTTACGCCTCTAAGTGACTACAATAGTTTTAATATGCTTGTGGTTGAATTAACTATATAAAATATGAAATATAAATGTAACCTTATAGAATGTCAATACTGTATGGTTAAATGTAATGTGAAATAAAATTGGATTTTGTTTTATTATAGAACCTTTCTTAATTGTTTTGCACAGTTTGCATGTAAGTTTGTAAGTTTGCAAGTTTTTAAGTAAGTTTGCATGTTTTTATGTAAGGTTGAAAGTTTTTATGTAAGTTTGCAAGCTTTTAAGTAAGTTTTCAAGTTTTTAAGTAAGTTTGCAAGTTTTTAAGTAAGTTATTTTTTAAGTAAGTTTGCAAGTTTTTAAGTAAGTTTGTAAGTTTGTAAGGAATTTTATATGTTTGTAAGTTTGTAAGTAAGTTTATAGGTTTGTAAGTAAGTTTATAAGTTTGTAAGTAAGTTTATAAGTTTGTAAGTAAGTTTGTAAGTTTGTGAGTAAGTTTGTAAGTTTGCAAGTTTGCAAGTAGCTTTGCAAAGTTTGCAAGTAGCTTTGCAAAGTTTGCAAGTAGCTTTGCAAAGTTTGCAAGTAGCTTTGCAAAGTTTGCAAGAAAGTTTGGAAGTTTTGAAGTAAGTTTGTAAGTTTGTAAAATTATAAGTTTAAAGTAAGTTTTAGTTTGCTAGTAAGCTTTTAGATTTATAAAGTAAAAATTAATGCTGGGAATCATAATTATAAGGAAACAGACAGTTTATATAAATTCCGTACGGTCGTCTCTTTTTCATAGCTTTCCCTAATGAAGTGAACTTAGAGCTTAGAGCTTTAAACCATTCCGGTTGTTATACAAAGTTCTCTAATCAAAGTTTGAGCCAAATCGGGTTTTGTTTTGTGTTTTAAAATTGTATATTTTCCTTTGCGGTTTCTCTGTAAAAATGACTTCATTTCTTGCTTTTGTAACAACGGATAAATTATTAGAATTAAACACTTTTCAGCCAAGAAAACGACGTTATCTTCCACAATATTGATAAAATTTAAATTTTAAGTCTATTTTAATGGTACTGTTGTAAATTGGGCCTGTCCTTTTGACAGCTGAGTAGAACCTGCAATAGCCAAATATGTTTATAAATCTAAAAATGTTACTTTATTTACTAAAAGTATGACGTATTGGTTTGATTGTATGCAAGTAGGAGTTTTTGATAAGAATTATACTAAAGATAAGGCAGTTGTATTTCAATTCAGGAAACAAATATTTTTGTTAAATCTATTATTAGAAGAGAGGCAAGTAGAGATGGGGACGTTAGACTTTTTACATTTCGTTCGTTCATCGTTCGTTTTCTCACTGAAATAGTTTCTTCAGTAAAAAAACTATCGTTTTTTTAATTTATTAGAAAAAATCGCCAATTTTAGTAAAAAAACTAATACTTAAAAAAAAAAAATTTTTGAAAAAAACGATCGCTTAAAAAAGAAACGATCTCTTTTTAAACATTTTGGAAAATTCGTTCGTACTGTAAAAAAACTGTCGTTTTTTCAAGTTCGTTCGAACCAATTTAAATCGTTTTTTCTGTTTTTTGGTTCGTAGGAGCGCATCGAGAGTATAACCTTGTATAACCTTGGGACCATGAGTTATTCATAAAATTAAATTTGTTTTATAAAATGAAGAGAATGCCAGCCTACCATCCCACCATTCCTTCAACAGAAAACAAAATAGGGGGCTTAGCACTTCTACCACTACGGCAAACTGCAAAGGTAGTTTTAACATTAAATAGCCGGGAGACAACAAACAAAATAACAAAATAACAAAATAAGATTGCCAGAGAAAAAAAAATAAGGGGATCTATAAAAAAATTTGCCCCCAATTAAAGAATTTGCCCCCATTTCTTTCAAATTTGTCAATCCCAAATGGGATTGACCCCTGCCACCAGGACCCAGACTTTTAAGGATTAATGATGACCTGGCCAAAGCGCGCATAGTTCAGAATAAACGGCAACATTCGAGAACTACTTTTGCATCAAAATATCCAATACAAAATTTCAGCAAAAATTTGTATAAACGATTACATCCGGTAACCCAGAATTTTAAAAGCTTGACTTATAAAACAAAATATGTAAGTCGTCTTTAGAGTCAATTTTTTTCTGGGTGACTGTATATTTACAACGTACATAACTTGCATGTACATTGTACATGGTTTAATTTAGGGTTCTGAACGTGGACCAGCTCCACTGACAACAAACGAGGATATTGTGGACCAATCTCTAGATCTATTCAAGGTATAGTGGGACCAATCCCTAGATCTATTTAAGGTATACCGGGACCAATCCCGAGATCTATTCAAGGTACAGTGGAACCAATCCCTAGATCTATTCAAGGTATACTGGAATCAATCCCTAGATCTATTTAGGGTATACCGGGACCAATCCCTGGATCTATTCAAGGTATAGTGGGACCAATCCCTAGATCTATTCAAGGTAAAGTGGGACCAATCCCTAGATCTATTCAAGGTACAGTGGGACCAATCTCTAGATCTATTCAAGGTATAGTGGGACCAATCCCTAGATCTATTCAAGGTATAGTGGGACCAATCTCTAGATCTATTAAAGGTATAGTGGGACCAATCCCTATATCTATTCAAGGTATACCGGGACCAATCCCTAGATCTATTCAAGGTATAGTGGGACCAATCTCTAGATCTATTAAAGGTATAGTGGGACCAATCCCTAGATCTATTCAAGGTATACCGGGACCAATCCCTAGATCTATTCAAGGTATACCGGGACCAATCCCTAGATCTATTCAAGGTATACCGGGACCAATCCCTAGATCTATTTAAAGTATACTGGGACCAATCCTTAGATCTATTCAAGGTATAGTGGGACCAATCCCTAGATCTATTCAAGGTAAAGTGGGACCAATCCCTAGATCTATTCAAGGTATAGTGGGACCAATCCCTAGATCTATTCAAGGTAAAGTGGGACCAATCCCTTGATCTATTCAAGGTATAGTTGGACCAATCCCTAGATCTATTCAAGGTATATTGGGACCAATACCTTGATCTATTCAAGGTATTGTATGTAGATGAAAACCTGAGACTGCTCTGATTATTGCTTTATAGTTATATATATACACACATTTATTTCAGTTTTTAACTTCACATTTTTTCTTAAAAAAGAATTATACAAAACATAATATTTCACGCCATCATGACGATCTTCAGTAGTTACAATTCTTTGAACACACATATATATATATATATATATATATATATATGCAAGTAGATAAATTATGTATATCATATATATTATATATCTATGTTTACTTTAAATCATAACTCTTCTTGTTTGTAATTAAAAATATGATGTTCTAGTAATGTTGTTTATATTTAACCTAGTCAGTGTGGACTTCAATAAGAATAATCTATGCAAGCAAATTGTTTAGGCGAATATATTCTTTAAAAACTTTGAGTTTGAATCATCAGAAGATCGAGTATTGGTTTATCTTACCCTCTATATAGTGGAATGTCTCAAGAGACTGCAGAAGTGTTCAAGTAAGGTAAGAATACAGAATTCAAATGTCAATAAAGAAACTCTTTCACTTCAATTAAAATGTCAATAAAGGGACTCTTTCACGTCAATTCAAATGTCAATAAAGAAACTCTTAGGACTCTTTCACGTCAATTCAAATGTCAATAAAGGGACTCTTTCACGTCAATTCAAATGTCATTAAAGGGACTCTTTCATGTAAATTCAAATTTCAATAAAGGAACTCTTTCACGTCAATTCAAATGTAAATAAAGGGACTCTTTCAAGTCAATTCAAATGTCAATAAAAGGACTCTTTTACGTCAATTCAAATCTCAATAAAGGAACTCTTTCACGTCAATTCAAATGTCAATAAAGGCACTCTTTCACGTCAATTGTATGTCAATAAATGGACTCTTTCACGTCAATTCAATGTCAATAAAGGGACTCTTTCACGTCAATTCAAATGTCAATAAAGGGACTTCACGTCAATTCAAATGTCAATAAAGGGACTCTTTAATGTCAATTCAAATGTCAATAAAGGGACTCTTTCACGTCAATTCAAATGTCAATAAAGGGACTCTTTCACGTCAATTCAAAAGTCAATAAAGGGACTCTTTCTTGTTAAATTAAAGTAAATAGGATTTATATATGTTTTCAATCATAATTCCTCTTATTATAAATCTCTTGAGAAGAACAAAAATGTTTTGAATCTCTAAAATGTTTCCGAATAAGTTTGTCTTTCCAATCTTGATCGTAAAATAAAAACCAGAGGAGCTCCAAGGTCACAATCTCGGACCATGCAGTAGTCGTCATTTTTAAGTGATGTTACATTTACAAAAGTGGCAAGTTCTTAGGAAGGAAGACTTAGTAAACCTGAGAAATGAGAAGGAAAACGAAATCGAAGTCCGTAAAATGGACACGGAAACCGGAAACGGAAACCCTTACACAACCTTAATGAGAAGAACAAACTTCGAAAACTTGACAAAAAAGAGGGAAAAAGAAGAAAATAATTACAAAATCTGAGATAAAAAAGGGAGGAAAACATAGTTCCAAAAAAAAGAAAGGAAGAAAAAATAAAAGATCCAACAATAGAAAGATATGTTGGGTCTAGAGTTGGTTTCTCAAAACTTACAGTAACCGGAGAACGAGCGTTTATACAAAAATGGATAAGGAAAGACAAGTTTAAGAAAAAGTAGAAATGGCCGGGTGTTGTAGGTTTAGTTTCTGAGACAGCAATATTTTTTATTTTGTGTTTTTTAAAATTAATATTTCGAGCTTACAACTTGTTTTCACAACTGGCGCATTCCCGGAAAATATGGAAAATGTCGTCTTCATTATCAAAATCCTCGAAACAGGAATGTTTTCAAAAGTCACTTTCAGATCATAGAAAGTAAAAAATATTATGAAATATTAACTATATACGAATGCGTCGAAAAATAATCGATGATTATGGGTTGTAATATCTGAATGCTTTGTTTGGAATTAAATTGATTTTGTTACGATCCGAGTCGTATGTTGCAACTTGTAATGAATCTACGTTGTACGTTCTTCGGTATGAGACGTTTTTAACAAAATTAGTAGCGATCAAAAGCGATTATTTATCGCCGTAAGCCTATACCCCCTTTCATTTTTCGCGAACACTCCCTTTAAGCTTATAAAAAATTCTTTAATGTTCAACACACTGAAAAGCTTTGTTTGACCAGAAAAAATAAAAAATTCATCCTGAAAGATTTTACCTTACAAATTAATTATTTTCAATTGCGGTAATTGGGACTGCGGATTTTGCTGCAAAATTGAGGAAATTGTAAGAATTTGAAATTTTATAGGGTCTTGTTGTGAATCTGGCATATCCGCTTTTATTAATGTAGAGATATTTGAAAACGACATTCCCTTGAATAGAATATTTATTTACGGAAATTTCTTCCAAAACTGTGATCGTTCTCATAAAGAAGGAAAAATAGTGGGAAAAATAAATAAAGTAAAAGTATCTACTATAACTCTTACTCCAAGAATTATAACCCTTTAAACTATGGAAAAAAGGAGGTTTTTAGATTTAATTCATGATTCTAGATATTCTAATGAACATAAAGATCGTACTGTTTTGAATTCGACATGCCTCTCTACGGTCCCTTAAATTTACGTCTACATTCCTATAAAGGAGGTTTTAAAGAATAGAAATTTTGTTAAAGTGATAAAGTGCTAATTTATTCATGAATATTCATGTATTCAGATCCGAATAGATGTGTATATATGAGCACACTTTGCACAGCTTAAACAAATCTTAAGTGCTCTTACATAATCATATTTTTGTACATTTTCACATATGTAATTGGTTTTCAGAAATAGAATTAAATATCTGTCATTTTGAAAAATGATTATTTTTAATTGTGGTTTCTTTGCAGAAGTGATTTGCGCATTTCTAATACGAAAAGGAAACGTAAAGGAGTTATGAGAATTAAACACCTTTTAACCTAGAAAACAGAAAATATGTTCCACATTATTTATTATACAAAGGTTTCGATGGGTACTGTTGTGAATCTATTGGGAATCGAACACATTTTAACCTTTGCATAAATCCCTTTATATTACGCTTACAGTCCCTTTAAATGGTTCTAACTTCTCTTGTCATTATGATGATTAATGATTTCATGATAAATTATGACAGTTTGCGATTAAAGGTCCGCTTAAAATTACGATAATAGTGCCATTAAATTAATTAAATGAATTGTGGTTAAAGGGAGTGTTCGCGAAAAATGAAAGGGGGTATAGGCTTAATGCGATAAAAAAAGCGCTTTTGATCGCTACTAATCTTACTTCTATCTGTTGGGTCTATAACGAGAAAATTGTTAAAGACGTCTCATACCGAATAACTTAGTGTCCATACAAATTGAGAAAATTGCAACATACGACTTAGACCGTAAAAAAATCAATTTAATTTCAAACAAATCATTCAGATATTACAACCTATAGTCATCGATTATCTTTCGCCACATTTGTATATAGTTGATTTTTTATTTTTATATTAGTTCTGATTTTGTTTTTTAAAATAATATTTAGCTTACAACTTGTTTTCGAACATTCCTGGAAAATATGAAAATGTCGTCTTCATTACCAAAAAAACAGGAATAAATGTTTTTATAAGTAACTCTCAGATCATAACAATTAAAACATATTATGAAAAATCAACTATATACAAATGTTGCGAAAGATAATCGATGACTATAGGTTGTAATATCTGAATGATTTGTTTGAAATTAAATAAAGTTTTTTACGGTCTAAGTCGTATGTTGCAATTTTCTCAATTTGTATAACGCTAAGTTATTCGGTATTATTCTCCTTATAGACGCAACAGATATAAGTAAGATTAGTAGCGATCAAAAGTGCTTTTTTATCGCATTAAGCCTATGCCCCCTTTCATTTTTCCCGAACACTCCCTTTAACTTAGGAGAAAGGGTTGCAGGAAATGTATAGTTTTGCACTGGAACAATTCTCTCTGCCTGGAGATTCAAGATTTCCTTTAAATGCATTCTTCACAAAGCCTAAAAAGTAAGATTTCTATTTTTCTTAGTTTTCTATAGAAATAAGTTTTTTTCAACTATTTATTCGATTAGTTTGATATTATGGAGGACGTAGCGTCGGTCTCCAAATAACGCAAGGAGTCTTTAGGAAGGATATATTTTAATCTAAGATAACAAAGCAAGTCTATATATAT